ATGTATGTATGTATGTATGTATGTATGTATGTATGTATGTATGTATGCAACTTTTACTTGTTTTCCCATCTGGAGTTTCCCTAAATGTTTTGAAAACCCCTGTTTTTTGTTTTTTCCAAATTCCAGAGTGATTTAAATTTGCTCAAATGGCAAGATGGCGGACTCTCACTGCAACGCACGAACAAGGTAAGGAGCCGGAGGGGGGGGGCTACCGGGCAACCGCGCTACCGGGCAACCGGGCTACCGGGGCCGGAGGGGGGGCTACCGGGCTACTGCGTCCTAGGGCTCCCGCGATACCGGGGTTCGGTGCGGGTCTACTCTGACAGTGATATCGAACCGGGGTCGGGGGTCCGGGTCTCCCCTCTGGGGAGCCCCGGCCCCCCTCCCCCGGTGGCCGTTTTCCCCGATATTCCCCGGTTTTCCCGGTATTCCCGGTTTTCCGTTTTTCGTCTTTTACCGCGGTATCGCGGTAGCCCGCCCACTTCCTTGTTTTTGTCACATGACTAAAAAGAAGTCACATGACTAAAAACAAACCAATGAGAATCTAAACTAAAGCAGATTCAACCAAATATCTTAAAGATTTAGGGGGGGAGGGCGGGCGGCGGCACGGAGCTACCGGGACACCGGGCTACCGGTGCCGGGGTCCGGTAGGGGGCTACCGGTAGGGCATGCCGAGTGCCAACGTACGTAATAATCTGAGAAAAATGTTTCTTTCCCAAGGTTTTCAACTTGCACAGCCACAGAGACTGCAATTATATAGCTGTGTATATATATTTATGGGACGTGCGGTCATCCTCACAAGACAAAACATACGATGACATATTATTATTTGTCCGCCGATCTTTATGTATGACTAATTGCGATCATTTTAATTGTCAAAATCGCTGAAATTGCACATTTCCTGTTGAAATACGGGGTGAAACGTGATGTGTGGCAGCAAGGAGCCCAGCTGAACCTCTGATTGCGCAATCAATCCCAAACTGGGCTGTTGGTGTCTGTCGGCGTATCGCTGAAATACGTTTCTATAGTCTGATTTTGGAGTCTGGCTAATGTCTTCAAGAATGTCTGTCTGTCTGTCTGTCTGTCTGTCTGTCTGTCTGTCTGTCTGTCTATTTATTTCCCGGATATATTAGTGTGTGGCTGAAAGGGTGAATAAGGTATATTAACCCTTTATAGGGCACTCAATGAAATACTTTAAAATTAAAAAATTCAACCTTAGAGTCTCATTGGACAACATAATAAGACTTTATTCCAATTGTGACATTTTTGAAAATGTTTTATTTTCATGTTGAAAATCGAGTTCAATGAAGTTACCATATTTGGTAACTTGCCCTTTAGTGGTAAAAATGTCAAGGCCAATGAAGTGATCAAATTTGGTCACTTGCCTTTAAGTGGGAAAACAAATTCCAATAAGTATACATAGATAAAAATACATATAATGCAGGTACTGCACTAGCGCCGGGCTGGTGAAAATGTTATCAGCATAGATGGCTGTGGTGGTGGGGAAGGACATGGTACTGGCAAGGACAGATACAATCTGGCTGGTGGCACCTAAGCCTTCTTGTTCAGGTTTCAGGGGAACATCATGGGCCTCCAGGGTAGTCCTGCCCTGGTTTAGCACAATGTCATGGATGAAGCCATCCTCAGATGCCCTGGCAAACAACTTTAAACCCCACTTGTCTGGCTTGCTTTCTATATATTGCCTCAGGTTGTCAAGTGGCAAAAATCACTCATAATTACTATTCATAAACTAAAAACACAGTGTTGAAATTGAGCAGAATCACTGTATAGTGATATAAAAAACTTTTGCGACCTTAAAACATAATATGCTAAGTTGTATTGCTTTATTTGTAAAGAAAATGCATAGTATGTTTTGTTAGATGCATTGGGCATATGTCCAAAAACAGACATTCCAAGTAAAATCTAGTTTTTAGTGAAAAGGGCATATGATCAAATATGGTGCCTGCATTTTTCATGCCGTATTTTCAATAATTTTAATAATTCCTCAGCAAACAACTTGTATGTCAACACTAAACACAACTATTCAACAATAAAATGTATGAGTTTCATAAAGTTCACATGGTTAGTTTTGATGTTTCTTTTGAAAATGTCCAGTGAACCGAGCTGCCAGAAGAAGATTTTTCCAAGGGATTTTAGGTAATCTTTTGTTTATCAATTTTACCAGAGTATTGGTGGCGACTATATTAACAGCAGAGGGCAGCAATGTGCCAAACGACGCTCAGAAAAGAAAACAAATAACGTTTCACTTCGGGCGGAACTCTCTATTTAGTTCCGACCCTCCAGACGGAAGGATTCCAACGAAACACACCGAAGGGAATGCATGCTGCAAACACTTCCGATGCAGTTTACTCTACACTCACATCGTTGGTAGTTTTGGCGTGTTTCCCCTTGAACGGCGGAGTCCACCATGGAGGTCCTGGGAGGGGAGTTTGGGGAAATGACCCCCCAGGAGCTGGCGGCTCCGGTCAACACGGTGGCGGTAAGTCTGAGGGAGAACGGACAGAGTTTGTCCAGAGTAACGCAGAGGTGTCAGCATGGAGGCGGTCAGCTGCCAGATTCAGTGAGAGTTTCCAGCTGCTTGTTGCAGTGGACCTGGTCCAGTCGGCCACCTGAAGTTAAACCTTTGAATGATGTTACAGCTCTGATGATGTTCTCTCTTCGCATCTCTCTGACAGGAAAAATGGAAATTGCTGCCAGCTTTCCTGAAGGTAATGTAACACCTGTTTATTATTATTCAGTGTCATTTATTGATATATTTTTGTATGAAAATTAGCAAAGCCTTCATGAATAGAAAATTAAAATCTAAAAGAATGATAATCTTGAACACAGGAGGCCCATTTTGAGGCCCTATTTGTTTGTAGATGGTCATGTGTGAAGGTTAAGGTTTTGACACCAAATCCTTTTTTTTGTTAACTTTTAAGGGTTTCTGCATGGAATTCAATATTTTCTCTGTGTGTATCTTCAACTAAATGTTATTCCTCCCATTAAAATCACACAGAGGAAGAAGAATTAATGTGGCTTAGTTCTGATTTTAAGGCTTTATGTTATTGACTGCAGGTCAGACATCAGTTACATGTTACATGTTACATGAGTCGTTGAGTTTTTCTTTTTGTTTTTGTTTTTCTGTAGGTGAAAGGTTTGGTGAAGCAGCACATCGATTCCTTCAACTATTTCATAAACGTGGAGGTGAAGCTCGAACCCGTCCGTGTGTGTGTCCCAGCCATGTCAGTAGGACTGTGAGCTCAGTTTGAGCGTTTGTTGTTTTTCAGATAAAGAAGATCATGAAAGCGAATGAGAAAATAACGAGTGACGCCGATCCGATGTGGTACCTGAAGTAAGTGTGAATTCAATCCTGACACACACCCACTCACACACAAAATAAGTTCTGGTGATTATTTATTTCTATTTTTTTGTGAAGATACCTGAATATCTATGTTGGCATGCCCGATGTGGAAGAAAGCTTCAATGTAACCAGACCAGTGTCTCCTCATGAGGTGAGCTCTGTGTGTGATTGGCCGAACAAGTGGATAGGACTCATTTTAGAGGATGTATTTATTCATCTATGCATTTCTTTCTCTTGAGAAGGGAATTGATATTTAAGCAAATAGTCGACTGATGGAAGATTTCCAAACAAGTGACACCTTCACTATCCCAACGTTAACTCTCCTGATTCTGTGCTAAAACATTTTCTTTCTCTAGTTTTTGTATAAAAGTCTTGATGTTTCCACAGTGTCGTCTCAGAGACATGACGTACTCTGCACCCATCACGGTGGACATAGAGTACACCCGTGGCAGTCAGAGGATCATTCGCAATGGACTTCCTATCGGAAGGTAACTTCTTACTCCATGCTGCCTCAGAATCTATCCATATATATATATATATATATATATATATATATATATATATATATATATATATATATATATATATTTCTCTCTTTTACCTTCACCCTTCCTTCCAACCCCCCATCCCTTCCTCTCCACATGTATTTTGATGTTGGGATTTCACCGTATCTGTGCTTACTTGTGGTGTCTTTTTTATCATTGCTACGTGGACGGGTTGTACTGAAATGTTGAATTTCTTTGCATGGGACACCGGAATATGATTAATAAAGTAAATTGAGTGATTTATTGATTATGTATGTGTGTGTAGTTATCTCTCTTTTTTTTCGTTTTATCTTTCCATCTCTCAAAAAAGGGCTGCAGTCTGACTTTGTTCTCGTTCTTTATTTGTTTAACTTTGTTTTGTCAGGATGCCAATCATGCTGCGAAGCTCCAACTGTGTTCTCACGGGAAAGACTCCCATGGAGTTTTCCAAGCTCAATGAGTGTCCTCTGGACCCGGGTACGCCGTCACGATGCCGTCTTTTAGAGATGTGATACGTCCCCATAGCATTTGAGTCATTCCTCACTTTTGCGGTCCCATTTATCCGCAGGGGGGTATTTCATCGTAAAAGGTCAAGAGAAGGTAATCCTCATCCAGGAACAGCTGTCTAAGAATCGAATCATTGTGGAGCAGGACAGGAAAGGTGCGGTTGGAGCCTCGGTTACCAGGTAAGGAGGTGTGTTTAGAACAGCATGGGTATTGTTGCAGACAAAAGAAAGCAAGAAAACAACCAAAACTTTGGAAAAAAAGTATCTGAAATTAGCTTATTTACCTCTGGCTGATTTCATCTTGCAATAGTTCATGTGTTTTTTATTTTATTTTATTCCAGCTCCACTCACGAGAAGAAAAGCAGAACTAATATGATTGTGAAGCAGGGCCGGTTTTACCTGAGACACAACACGCTGTCGGAGGACGCTCCCATCGCCATCATATTCAAGGTACGGCCGGTCCAGCAGGTGGTGCTGCAGCGCCACCCGACGGGCAGACTAAAGCCTGGAGGAGCTCACTGGTTTTCCCTTTGGGCCTGTTGTTCTGTTTTTAATGCCCCGTTCCGCAGACTTCACACTCCGCCCTTTTAGCTCAGAACCCAAAATGTCACTTGGACAGCTGGGATCAGGACCTTGCGTCCCCTTTGTGGAAACGCCTCTTCACACATGTTACCTTATAAGTGCGAGAATGGCGGTTTGCGGGCCCGCCGTGTTTGCCGAGCACTTCATGGTATCAGCCGCGGGCGGGCTGCTCGGTTCCCACAGCTCCACATTTCCATAAGCAAATGTCAGACAACCCCTCGACTCCCGCTCCACCTCCACCTCCCTTCCACCTGCTTTGGTCTCTGTGTCTGAACTCTCGCCTCAGTTACTAATTCCAAACTTTCCACTGCGTATTCAGCCTCGTCGCCCCCCCCCCCCCCAAACTTCCGATCATGTTTGTTGTCATGTGCACGTCCTCTCATGCGTGATGTTGTATTTTTGGGCTCCGTGCAGGGTATGGGCGTGGAGAGCGACCAGGAGATAGTTCAGATGATCGGCACAGAGGAGCACGTGATGGCCAGCTTTGCCCCGAGCCTGGAGGAGTGTCAGAAAGCCCAGATCTTCACACAGACTCAGGTAGACCCCCCCCCTACTGGCTACCGCGTCACAACCCGAACCAGCAGGCCAGCCCATCTGCGATTTGACCCGGAAGAACTGCTTTATGGAGCTCCTTTCGAAACATGCCGCCCTCATGTCTCCACCAAAGACGCGGTCTGCTGTTCAAAAGCTGAGAAAAAGGGAAACCGTTTGACTGCCCACATTTAAGCGTCCAGGCCTACTTGCTCCACCCGCGCTCACTAATTGGTCTTAGCCGGTTGCCGGGTCACCTCCTGGTGGCACTGAGAATCAGGAAGTTAAAACTTCTGCGGCTTGTCAAACGCACACTACGATTTTAATGAGATATTCCCTCATAATGCGACTCTGTTAATAAGGAAACCTTCAACTCTTTGTAACTCACTCTGACGGCTGAACTTAATGAAACCGCGAGCTCATCACAGGCTCGGCCGCTCTGACAGGTGCCCATTAGCTCCGTCCGAGGGAGCAGGGCGATGTCGTTCAGACGCCGTCTGGTGACAGAAGGCATTTTATTTTCCCCTCTCTGATCAGATGACGACGGTTTTGTCCTTCCAGCTTGTTAAGTAATGTTTTGGTGGTCATTCAGGAGGCCGCACGTGTTTTCCTTTGACATCTACCGATGAATGCAGGCGAGCAGTTTGTTTTTCATAAAGATTATGTTGTTAGAGGATCCACTGATGAGGCCATATTTGCGTCCTAGCAACCCGTCTCCGCCACCCTCGTGTTCCTCTGTCTGCCAGCCTCCACGATGCCTTTTCATGGTATTCATTGGGTCATTGTATTGTGCACAATGAGACCTAAATCTGTATAATTAAAGGCAGATAAGGCGGAAGACACGCTGTTATCAGATGATGATAAGTGATCGGCCCAAACCAAATTCAACTGCCATCTTTTTTTTTCTTCTTTTTTTTAAAATTCAGAATCTGAGGGACATGTGATTTTCATCAAATATCTTATTATGACTCCCTGGTGGTCGGATTATGTGACTGAGCTTCCGTGAAGCGGTTTTTGTGTTTGTATGTTGTGTTTTCTGCACAGCGGTGGTCAGGGTGGGTGGTCCTTCAGAAAATCTTCATCCTCATTGACCTGTGACCTTCCAGTAGTTCAAAGCAGCAGTTAGACAGGTGTCAAACATGATTCACCACAACTCTGTCCTGTCTCTCTGTGGACATTCAACACATGAATATATATTTTTAGCTACTTGCGGATCAGATAAATGACTGAAAATCAGGGAGCAGCCACACCCGCGTGACCTCCTCATGTCACCTGTTATAAATGTTCACCTATTTCTCCTTTAAGAATAAAAACATTGAGTATTTTTCCCATAATTTACCATTTCTTTAATCAATCATTAAAAACTAAGTGAAGTATTTTTAGATTTAGTTTAACTTGTATTATGGATTAAAAAAATTATTACTACTAACGTGTGCTCTGTGCTTCAGGCTTTGAGGTTCCTCGGAAATAAAGTGCGACGCCAGCGCATGTGGGGAGGTCCCAAGAAGACCAAGATGGAGGAGGCCAGAGAGCTGCTGGCCTCCCTCATCCTCACTCACGTGCCCGTACGTCAGCAGAAAGTTTGATCCCGCTCACTCCAAGACTCCATTGACCCCCCAGCTGGCTCCTTTTTGGAAATTCAACCGTTTCTCGTTTGGCCTTCAGGTCAAAGAGTTCAACTTTCGGGCGAAGTGCATTTACCTGGCCGTGATGGTCCGGAGGGTGATCCTGGCCCAGGGGGACAACAAGGTGGACGACAGGGATTACTATGGCAACAAGCGTCTGGAGCTGGCTGGACAGGTAAACGGCCACACGCCAACGACTTTCATATGTTGTTTTCGTGCTTTAAGACAAAAAGCATGAGCCCGCTGGGTTTGTTCGGACATCGAAAGGCCCCCCGTTGGGCCCGTCACCCGTTCGCTTGTTTTTCGTCAACTGAAAGGTGTTCGCCTCTCATAAAGCGGCTAAAAAAAAACAAAACGCCTGTGAACACTGCGTCCGTGCGCGGCGTTTCCCGTGCGTGGGAGCGGCTGGATGGCAGCCCTGCGGCGGAGCGTGGCGGCGGCTCCGGCTCTGATCTCTCACCTGCACTTTTGTTCCTGCCACCTTCTTTTAATAAGACTCTCATTATTTTCCCACAGCTTTGTTTTTTTCCCCCCCTGTTTTGTTTAGGTGCCCCCCCCCCCCTTCCCTCCCCCTCTGTATTTCAGCCTGGCTTTGTCAGGAGGGAGATATGCGGTGGCACCAAAATCCTGAGGCCGTGGAAGCATGGGGATTTTTCAGCGCCGTAACAATAGAGCTGCAGCCTTGACTGGAGCGATTGAGCTAATCCGCAGGCTCGGCTCTGATAATGTAATTACTGCTGTCTTAAGGCCTTTAATTTCCCTCCCAACCTGCTTCTGTATAAGGAGCAGGAGATGGGAGGAGGAGAAGGGGGGGGGGCAACATAGCCCTCTTTCAGAAAGGGGCTTACGCACTAACAACGCCAGCAATCTCCTCACTCTCCAATTATGGTTCCCTGACATTCAACTAATTGGCCTGGCTGCGCAATGGAAGCTTAATTTCTTTATTAATTTCAAGCAGCGCTGCCTGTTTGTTTTGATGTGTGTTAATGCTCGGGGTGGGGGTGGTGGGGGGGGGTTGTGCGCCTCGTGGAGGCTGGTGGTGGAGGTAAGGGACCCGGGATGCTCGCCAGGTCAGCTTTAGGTGTAAGCCGGCACACCTGGTTGTTAGAGCTGACTGCGTATGGTTCTGAAACCCGGGCAGATGCCTGCTGGCAGGGAGACCGGGGAGCTGACCCGGCCCCGGTCCAGGGGCCAGCGAGTGACGCTCCCTCTGCCCCCCCCAGCTCCTGTCTCTGCTGTTTGAGGATCTCTTCAAAAAGTTCAACTCCGAACTGAAGAAGATCGCCGACCAGATCATCCCCAAGCAGAGGGCGGCCCAGTTCGATGTGGTCAAACACATGCGGCAGGACCAGATCACCAATGGGATGGTCAACGCCATATCCACAGTGAGTGCAGGTCCCGAGCAACATGAGACTGGAAAGTGGCAAAACTTTATTCAGAGACGATGTTTGGTTTCTAAAAGCTCTGATAAGAGACACAGATGTGGCTATTGTTTTTTTTGTTTTGTTTTTATATTTTAAATATTTTTTTACTCTGAACAGGGCAACTGGTCTCTGAAGAGGTTCAAGATGGACCGGCAGGGTGTCACCCAGGTTCTGTCACGCCTGTCCTTCATTTCTGCTCTTGGCATGATGACCAGGATCTCCTCTCAATTTGAGAAGACCAGGAAGGTCAGCGGGCCGCGCTCCCTGCAGCCGTCGCAGTGGGGGATGCTGTGTCCCTCCGACACTCCCGAAGGGGAGGTGAGCAGCAGCGCATGTCCCCGACCGGGGACGGTTTTTCTCTAAACGTGACCCAGTGCTGTGAAAAGTGCTACTTTTGGGTTCAGTTTTGGGACCCAAATCCCTGCAGTGAAAGATGCAATGACTGATGCTCTCTGAAGGTCTTCATGTGTCGTACAGTCACCCGTCAACAGATTGTGTCTCATTTGACACTGTAAACGTCTCAATGGAGCTTTTACCAAATCACACATGCATCAAAAAGTGCTGTTATGTAGATTTAGATTGATGAAAGCCAGAACCGAAAAAGAATGGAAAATCTCCAGTTGATTGGGGTTCCGGTGTCCGGCTGCATAACCAGCTGAACTGAGCCACGTGTTAAAAAGAGACTGTCATCTGATACCCGTTAGACAAACCTAGAGAACTTTTTTCCCAAAAAAATTGACCACTTTGGGTTTAACTTGTGGATTTCTAGGCCTGTGGTCTGGTGAAGAACTTGGCCCTGATGACCCATATAACCACCGACATGGAGGACGGCCCCATCATCAAACTGGCCTTTAACCTCGGCGTGGAGGACGTCAACCTCCTGTGCGGAGAGGAGCTCTCCTACCCGAGCGTCTTCCTCGTCTTCCTCAACGGTAAAAATCCCGCACGCCAGAGGGTAAAGGCCGACTCACAGCGGGCCGCGGCTCCCTCAGGTCGCATGAAAAGAAAGCGTAGTAGAAATCCTGTTAGTTGTGAACGCATTGCTTACAAACATGGAGAGAACATTATTCTGTGGACTTCCTGTTAAGTCATTTTGCAGAGAGGCTTAGTCCTTCGTTTCATAGCTGCCGTGTGTGTTGTTCCTGAATCAAAACTTGGGCTTTTAATTACTGTATATGTTTGTCGCAGCGCTGATAAGTGTCAAATTATATTAGCTGCCATACTATTTAATTAGCTGGTCGCAGCAGGTGTCAAAGCCCGTCAGCGTGCGCTCACACAGAGGCAGAGCACAGAGCCTCCTCTGTTCTCCGCTCATTTGTCTGTCAGACTTGATATGAACAAACCCCTGCAGGCACTTTAAGCTCTGCTTTGTCCAAGCGTTGACACTTTTTCTCTCTAGTTAGAGTTTTGGAATTGGAATTTGGACACAAACAATTTTCAGCTGCTTACCACATACGTCCTAACTGAGAGGTAGAAAAGAGCATTTCAACGTTTGGAACTGGTGATGGTTTCCAGATATGACTCATAAGTCTTTTTAGTCTTGATATTCCAACGCTCCTTCTATTATTCATCCACCTCCCTGTTTGCATTCCATCCCCAGGTAACATTTTGGGTGTGATCAGAGAACATCACAAGCTGGTCAACACCTTCAGGCTCATGCGCAGGGCAGGTTTCATCAATGAGTTTGTGTCCATCTCCACCAACCTGACCGACCGCTGCGTCTACATTTCCTCTGATGGAGGACGGCTGTGCAGGTGGGAAAGTCCCCGGAGGACTGAAGGAGAAGGGCTTTTGTTGATAAAATCCGAAGCAATGAGCGTTACGCTAAAAGAGACCTTAAATGATGGCTACATCTATGTGCGGTGCTCCTTTTCTTATCCTGCAGGCCGTACATCATTGTGAAAAAGGGACAACCGATGGTAAAGAACAAACACATGGAGGATCTGTCTCAGGGCTACAGGTGAGGGACTAAGATTTACAATTTAAAAAAAAAATTTTTTTTTATTGTGTAGTGGAATGATAGCAATAAAAAACACCTTCGGTTTGTGTGTTAGATACTGACCAATCATGGTCCGAAAGGGTTTCAGTCACAGATTGAATTATTTCTGAACCGTTTCCTCCGCCCCAGAACCTTTGAGGACTTCCTGCACGAAGGCCTGGTGGAGTACCTGGACGTCAACGAGGAGAACGACTGTCAAATCGCCCTTTACGAGCACATGATCAGCAAGTGGGTGCCACGCGATGCGACCTCCGCGTCCGGAACGAGCCTCCTGCTTTACGTCACCCCTTTTTGTCTCCGCTCCTCACTCCAGGGAGACCACGCACTTGGAGATCGAGCCCTTCACGCTGCTGGGAGTGTGTGCGGGCCTCATTCCCTACCCCCACCACAACCAGTCGCCCAGGAACACGTACCAGTGCGCCATGGGCAAGCAGGCCATGGGTAAGTCTGCCGGGCAGGTAGCTCCACACCCGTGTGGCTGCCCGTGTGCACAAACACTCTTGCAGTATGGTAATCTTAGGCCACTATTGCCCATAAGCCCGATTTAAGCTGCCGGCTTTAGTTCTATTTGCGTGCTTCAAAATCATCCCAAAAAGGTCATTAAAATAACAAATAGTGTGACTACAAGAAGCCCGCTGGCTCGCCCCTCCCAAAAACTCTGCTCCTGCGCCACTTCTTGTCAGAATGCATTTGTATGTGTGATTGAGTGTTTGTCTCATGTGTGTGTCAGCCGGTGTGTGTACGCGCATGGACATCAAACATGGGGCGCCTGCGTAGGCTCTCCATTGTGCTGTGTGTGCGGAGGCCCTTTCCCTGCCAGTCACCCAGAGTGTCATTAGCAATTCATTGTGTCTGCTCTGGCTGCGCTCGGGGGGTCAGTGTGCTCAGCTGCAAAAGACCACAGAGTGTGCACCCACAGCTCCTTGGTAACCAAAACTTCCCCAAACGGACCTGCTCGCATTCGTAAGAGCTGCGCTCAGCCCCCCCCCAACCCCACCCCACCGCTTCACCTCCGTCCGTCCCTTCCTCCCCTCCCCCCGCCTTCTTTACAAAAACACTGACTGGAACTATATTTGGCCCAATATCCTCTGTCTTGTCTGTTTTGTATGGACGGGCCTATACATGTGCAAATCCGGCTGTGTGGCCTGAGCCTATTATCACAGGCTCTGTGCTTGTAGCCTGATTGTGAAGTAATAGCATCTGACAAATGTCAAGGCTTCCAGGGAGGCCAGGCCTTTTCAGCATAACTTGCCCCCGTGGTCCCGCCGAGCTACTTTGAGACGGGGCTTCCTCAGACCGGCCGGACTGAATGACTTCACACCTGTAATCCAATGAGAAATGATTTGGGACTGATCACAGCAAAGCGGCCTTTTACTGATCAGTCCTCGTGGTTCATCTGTTCAGGAACCATTGGATATAACCAGAGGAACCGCATCGACACCCTGATGTACCTGCTGGCCTATCCTCAGAGGCCCATGGTCAAGACCAAGACCATCGAGCTGATCGACTTCGAGAAGCTGCCAGCGGGGCAGAACGCCACCGTGGCCGTGATGAGCTACAGCGGCTACGACATAGAGGACGCACTGGTGCTCAACAAGGCCTCGCTTGACAGAGGTGAGAGTTTCTGCTCTCGGACTGCTTTCACTCATTTCTGCCTCTCTAAGGCGCTTTTGGAAGGCTTAAGTGAGTTTCATCTGAAAAAGCTGAAGACATTTGACCCCCGATGAGTTATTGGTGTGCAAAAGTTACAAATACCAACTTAAAGTGGAAATGTTCAGTTAATATTTTCTCCTAAATCTAAGTTCACAGCATGCTGCTTACTAAGAAAACAGGAAATTATTTGTATATAGAATATATATTTCCACTCCTGCCAATAGTTTAGTTCAGATGCTGATGTGTAATGTCATGTCTGTTTTATTGTTTTGGTTTTATCAATGAAAATATATCAGACATTTTGTCAGGAGCAGATTATTTTATAGTAGAAAAAAAGCCATAATGTCTCTCTTCTAAAAAAAAAAAACGGTCATACGATTAAAAGTTTGATTTCATGCCCTGCAGGATTTGGTCGCTGTCTTGTGTACAAAAACACCAAATGCACGCTGCGCCGTTACACCAACCAGACCTTCGACAAAGTGATGGGTCCCATGTTGGATGCTGTCACACGGAAGCCCATCTGGAGACACAACATCCTGGATGCAGATGGAATCTGCTCCCCGGGTGAGTACCAGCAGGGGTGGAGGACGCCCGCTCTCATGCCGGCGGCATTGCTGTCGGGGTCCAAAACACGAGGATGGATGTATAACTGTCCGGGAGTCCTGGCCAGAGAGGAGAAACCTCCTGAATGTACGAGTGTGTTCGGGACAGCGGAAACGCAAAACGCAGTACCACCAATGGAGCTTATTTAGGGAACACAACCTTCTAAAGGGCAAAACATGGCAGAGGTCTTGTCATCCTGAGGGATGTTTGGCTGCTTTTGATACTGACAGCTTTTTAAAATCTGTCGGAACAATAATAAAAGCAGATTAGCACAAAGTAAATTGTCGCGGCTAGTGTCGAACCGAGTTTGAGCTGAAGCTTCGAGGGTTTTCAGTGGGGCGAGGCCCCAAGATTCAGCTATTTGTTACTCCTGAATATTTGTTTGATTTTTTTATCAGAACCTCGTTTCGTAGGCTCTTCAAGTGGCGCGTGCAAAACTCAGTCTGACTCTTTGGACGTTTGCTTTGTGGCTCAGGTGAGAAGGTGGAGAACAAGCAGGTGCTGGTGAACAAATCCATGCCAACCGTCACCCAGACGCCACTGGAGGGCAGTACCCAGCCAGGCCAGCCCCAGTACAGAGACGTGCCCGTCAGGTGGGTGCTCCCCCACACCTCCGAGGGTTTTCACCGCCGGACGCGTCCCCCGGCTTCGAAAAGAAAGTAAAAACGGGGGGGATGTTGTGTTCTCGTTCCCAGCTACAAGGGCTCGACGGACTCGTACATCGAGAAGGTCATGATCTCCTCCAACGCCGAGGATGCCTTCCTCATCAAGATCCTCCTGCGGCAGACCAGGAGGCCCGAGATCGGAGACAAATTCAGCAGCCGGCACGGACAAAAAGGTGTAGTTCTGAGGGGAGACCTGCTCGTTGACCCCAAACCTGCCAGGGGAAGCACAAAGAGCGGCATTAATATTCACCTCTTTCAGGCCAAATTTGCTGTGAAAGAGCGACCGGGCAAAACAAACCAGATCTCTGCACCGGAGCTCCTTTCAATTAATTGGCTCTTTGTCCTGTGCCAGACTATGCAAATTTATTACACCCCAGCAGTGTTCTGCTGCTGCTTGGGGGGGTAAAAAAAAGTGTTTACAACCTCCATTGTTTTGCAGCACCTCCCCTATAGAGGGCTTGTATGATGTTTTAATCAAAAAGCTAACTGGCGCCACGCATAATTTACTCTCTTCATTAAGGCGGTGGGCACTGAGCGGTCAGCTCACGGTGGGACAATGTCCTGTGTCTCAGTTAGGGCCGGAGAGCGGGGTCGCACTGGGGTTAGCCGGAGCAGAGCTGGGTGCAAACCCCCAGATGTGCCCCCGGAGGACATCTGGATTTGAATCGTGGGGGTCTTTCCAGTTCTACTGGGATGATTCAGCTCCTTATGGAGAACAAAAAAACATATTGGAAGTAAAAAAGCAAATTTTCATACTTGACTTGATTTTGATAAGAGTGTTAAATCCAAATCCAAAGTAGTTCAGCCACAGGTGAATTTGGCTGCAGAGATGAATCTTTCTCAAAGACCCTGGCCAGCAGGGCAGAATAAGTTAATTATTTACCGGTCTCTCTCTCTCTCTCTCTCTCTCTCTCACACACACACACACACAGCTGTAGATTTGGGGGGGTGGGGGTTAGGGGGGTGCGGGGCTTGTCGGTATTAGGAGCCCATTGTGCGAGCCGTCAGTGTGGAGCTGTATGAGCTGTGATGGAGGGCCGTGGACCCTTGCTGTTGTCTTGCCTTTCTCTGCTGATTTCATGCCTCTTTTATCATTCACTTTCACACAAAACAAACAACACCGAGGATGTCTGCCGCTGGAACCCGCGTGTCTCCCCCTGCTTCTTTCTGCTCGCCATCGCCGTTTTTCCACTTCTTCTTTCCTTCCTCCACCGTTCTTTTCACAGGGCTTCAGCTCTGATATTCGGCCTTTTTTGTCGCTGCCTTTTCTTCCTTTTGGTTTTCTCCTGGCCCTGCCTTGCTTGCCTTTTTCTCTTTTCTTTCGCCCTCTTCCTGCTGTTGGATGACTTTCCACTAAGTCACCGCCACTTGTTCCCAGTTAACATCCTGTTGCAACATCCTGTAAAGCGCCGTCCGTCGGCTGTGGCGCACAACGCTCGGCTAATTGCTAATTTTTCCACGTGCAACGATTCAGTTTCTGCTCTCCAGTTGATCCCCTCCACTTCCTCCCAGTTGAACTAAAAGTCATGGGTGTGTAATCCCGGTCTCCCCGTCCAGCTAAGCACCTTTCTCCACTTCCTGCTCTCCTTCTCTTCACTCGCCTTTATCTCTCTCTATTTTTTTTTTTTTCATTTGCAAATGGGTCTACAATCTGTTTACCCTGGCCAAGGAAGAGTACTTCGGCCCCTCGGCAAACATTTGCACTCGCACTTAAACTCCCGGCTACCAAGGAGCTCGTCCCCCCACATCACGGGAGTCAAAAGAGGGCCCTGTCTGTCCACATGAGTATGGAAATGTCATGATCTGCAAGGTCCACAAACCCAGCACAAACACAAACCACAAAACGGTCCCAGAAATATTGCTGTTGCTGTTTCCATGAACTTTGACCTAGATTTTTACCCCCAAAAGAGCATGTTGCCTGTTGGGAATTCATCAGTTGACACCAAACACAACAAATATCATTTTAAAAGTAAAAAAAGACAGGACAACTTTTTGTGAAATATAGGTTTAATTGTACACCCTTTGGCTTTTCTTTTCTTCTTAAGATGTCCTCTTCTTCAATTTTATGCAGAAGTGAGGACTTGATGTTTGGTGCAAATTGTCCACAACATTTTGTGTGTGTGTGTGTGTGTGTGTGTGTTTGTGTGTTAGGTGTTTGCGGCCTCATCGTGCCACAGGAGGACATGCCATTCTGTGACACGGGCATCTGTCCAGACATCATCATGAACCCTCACGGATACCCCTCCAGAATGACGGTACGAGCCCTCACAGACTCACAATCTAAAGCACGTGAACAGCAAATATTCAGATCAGTTTCACCAAATCATTGGTTTCACTGTGTGTTCATTATGTCTAACAGTAAGGAGCCTGATTCATACTTTAAAAGGAGTTTAGATGATTTTCCCTGGTAACAAAATCCAAAGCTTTGCACTTTTAGTTGACAGGACTCAGATTCAGATGTCAAAGTGGTTGCAGAGATTTTTGCTGATTGATTCGTAGAGTTTTTTGCTATCTTGTCCGCTCTCGGTCAAAAAAAAAGTTTCCATTTCCCCCTGTTAGGGTTAGAAAGCTGGTGATTTGACAGGTGGTCCGGGACCTGTCCTGGGTTATTTGTGGCTGTGGGCCCAGAGTGCGTCCTGGATCACCTCTCTGTTGACTGTCGCTCTTCTCAAAGTTTGTGTCGGCTCTCCTCAGACAAAACCCCCATTATCCGCGGCCCTCTTCTCTCCGGGTTATCGTTGGCCTCCAGAGCACACGTCCATTGACGCCGTTAAGCGGCAATCTCCCTGTTCACAAACAGATATTTGTTGCTGCGGCGACGGCCGCCGCCTAGAGCGGCGTGTGTAAGTTTTTATCAAACGAGCCCAGCACATCTGAAACAGGGACGGAAGGCAGGGGACCCGGCCCCGTTTCCGTCTGCTCACTGTACCCCCCCCACCCCACACTGTAAAAACCCAGATGGACGGTTGCTGTCGAAGTTGTCGGTGTGGTGTTTGCTAGCTGCGGTTGCCATGGAAAAGGCTCTGAAATGTTTGGCTCTAGAGGATGTTTCTGTGTCCCGAGAGTGATATGAGAGTAGGTGTTTCCTTTTATGTGACGGGGTCAGGGGTCCCCTGGGTGCTGCCCCGGTTGAATTGTTCAAATCAGCCATCCGTGCAGTTCTGTCCCCACGCTGAGAAAGGGGGGGAGGGGTTGGGGGGCACACGTGTAAGCTTATCTTATCCTTTACATCAACGTGTGGTGCCAAACCAGGATGTAAATCCCTGGAAGAATGTATTTATTTTTGTTGTAACCAGTCTCTGTTGCTTGTTTGTGTACAAACAGGTGGGGAAGTTGATAGAACTGCTGGCGGGGAAGGCGGGAGTCCTGGACGGGCGCTTTCACTACGGCACGGCCTTCGGAGGCAGTAAGGTGAAGGACGTGTGTGAGGATCTCATCCGGTATGGATACAACTACCAGGGCAAAGATTACGTCACCTCAGGAATCACTGGGTAATGCTGAGTTTGTAGGAGCGGAAACAAACTCATTTTCTTTCCTCTTGTAATCAACACTCACAAATTTTATAAAATATCCCAAAAGATCATTGTTTTACTGATTTAAAATCTTTTTTTTATTTAATTTTATTAATAAAAAAAAACATTTTTAATGCTATTTCTCTCAGTTTTAAAGCTGCTCGTGTTGTGGAGCAAACAATTAGAATCATGACTTTGTTCCCTGTGAGATGAAAAAGATTTTGTTAACAGATGTTTATTAGTCATAGATTAATAATCATGTCATTAGAAAATACATGCTGTTTTGGTGGTTTTATTCTATATTTCTGATTATTGGCTATGGTCGTGCTCTCTGTGTTGTGCTTAGAGAACCTCTGGAGGCCTACATCTACTTTGGGCCAGTCTACTATCAGAAACTGAAGCACATGGTCCTCGATAAGATGCACGCCAGAGCTCGAGGGCCCAGAGCCGTCCTCACCAGGTAAGGGCACCGGTTCCCGATCCCGCCGATGGCTCTTGTCGGAGTTTGGCCGGAGCGGAGTTCCCTTATTCCTGACGGGGCCCTTCCCGCTGGACAGGCAGCCCACAGAGGGCCGCTCCAGAGACGGAGGGCTGCGTCTGGGCGAGATGGAGCGAGACTGCCTGATTGGCTACGGCGCCAGCATGCTGCTGCTGGAGCGCCTCATGATCTCCAGTGACGCCTTCGAGGTGGACGTGTGTGGACAGTGCGGCCTGTTGGGATACTCAGGATGGTACGTTTTTAGGAAAAGGGGTCTGAGGATGCAGTTTTCCCCTCCCAGCACCATAAGGATTTAAAGGCTGAAAGGAGTCAGGAGGTGCTCTTTTGCCCTGACAGTCAGGCTTCCTCTGGTTTGTGTCCGTGTCTTCCAGGTGCCATTACTGCAAGTCGTCCTGCCACGTGTCCTCCCTGCGAATCCCCTACGCCTGCAAGCTGCTCTTCCAGGAGCTGCAGTCCATGAACATCATCCCTCGACTCAAACTGTCGCGCTACAACGAGTGAACCGGGCGGGAGCAGTGAGAGGCTTAAAGTCAGACAGACTAGAGCCGGAACAGGTTTTGTACGTTTGAGGCGTAAGGGAGCAGATAAAAGATCAACTTCAGTTTTGTTTTGTTTTTTGTTGATGCTGAACTACGTCTGCTTTTCTCTTTGTGTAGATATTTCTCACATCATGCTCTGTCTGTACATAATAAATACAAAATGAGGATTTCACCCACGTGTTGTGCAGTTTTTTTGTTTTATTTACTAATATTTAGCTCCATCTAACTCAGGATTGCAGATATGCAGCCTGAACAGGCTGTCCATCGTCCTGAGACCTGACCTGTGAACCTTGGGCTCATGTCATTCTCTGACTGAATTCCCTTCTCATTATCAGTCTAAAAGCCAACAGCGTTTGACCCTGAATAAAGTAATCTTTTTGATGATATTTAGTCTTGTTGAACATCTAAGTATTTTAGATAATTTATCTTCAGGCACTTAGTGGCTAAGATCTGAGACGTGAATCATTTGAGCTTTTAGTGTTTCAGATTCATTGTGTTTTGTCTGATTCATTGAAGTTATTGTAGAGTGTTTGTGATGCATTTAGGTACTGATTGAAAAGCTCAGAGATCCAACATTTGATTGGCAGCTGTAGCAAGCATGGACCTTTGCCAGATTCCTATTTAAAAAGTGTTCATGACTTTGTGGCAGAATTATCTTTTGTTGCCTGCACAGCTGGACGGATGTGATGATAACATCAATAAAAATCAGACTCATTTAAAGTGGCTTCAGTATTATCAAACTATTGTGAAATATGTGAGTCAGAAGCTGAATGAAATAATCCCAGTACCAAAAAAATGCCATATGACAAGGCTTTACATTAAGGTTTATTTTTATCATTATCAATAATAGTTCTATATATGAAATCAAATGGGTAAAAAGGATCCTTCTTTTCATGCATATATGCAGATATTTTCCTCAGACGATTTATTCATAATACAAAAAATACTATAGAACATTCAGGAAGCTATAGCTTAAGGTCTTACTGCATTTGTTCTGCTGTCATTTGGTCTGTAGTGACTTTGACCCTCAGGTCATTTTTTGCCATAATTGCTTCCATCTTACCCTCATATTTTGCTAGATTAAAAAAAAAAAGTATTTTTAAGCAGAGTAGATTGAAGCTTGTCATCTGATCGAGGGGGACGGTTCTCATTTAACGGCCCGTTTTTGAGCGACAGCTGAAAGCTCGGTGAAATAAATGCTGCGCTGCGTCTTGTAGAAGTCAGTGGGGAGGAGGAGAAAGCTGCTTTGAGCCGTATGGTTGTCGCTTTAAACTGCAGCCTTGGTGCCACCAACACGTCGTATGTGGCGCAACAATACCCCCCACTTGCATTCACACACTCGCACACAACTCATCTGGGGCCTTTTAACTGAACAAAAGCAGAGCACATGCATTTGTGTTGTGCTGTGTGATAATGGGAATGATGGAAGAGGCTCCTTTGGTGGCTGCACCTGTTCTGTTTTATGAGGCTCTAATAAGCAGATAAGAGTGGCAGGACAGGGAAAAAGATGTCCGCTGAGGGACGCAGGGACCCTTCACACCTTGTTCCTATTAGACAGAAATGATTGAGATCATCTTCCGAGGTCATGCCTCTTCATAAACCTGCTGACCGATAATGAGCCATTAAGGTGCTACTGCAGAGTTTCTGGACGAAAAATTATTTCCTTTGTGTTCCACAGTATTTTCCGGTCTTTCGGCGTGTCACTCAGCTTCTCTGTGGCTCCGTGAACGTAAGCGAATGTCTGGAGACGAAGCCGCCACCTGTTGGCTCAGGTGCTGGTGTTGGTGAGTGTCAACGGCAGGGCCCACGCCTGCGCACAGAAAGAGAAAGTCCTCCTTTGCTGTCCACGGTGTGGTGAGTAATTCAGCCATAATCCGGCTTTCTCCTCTCCCCTCTTCTTTCCCCTCTCCTCTCCCCCTCTCCTGCGGTTCCATTCATATTCTAATCACAGCTTTCCCTTCTCCAGCTCTCAGGCACTCCATCAGAGCCCTCCCAGCCTCGGGCTTTGCACTTTTACTTCCCCCCTTTGTGACCGTTCCCTCTTCTCAGAGGCACACCAAAAATAAGGCTGCTGCTGCGAAAGTGCGAGTAAAAACAGGCGAGAACGTCGCTTAAAAAAATTCACAAGTGTGCAGCTTCAACCCCGTTTGGTGCGAGAACAACTTGTGTCCACTCTGAGAAACTTATCGTCGTGGATGGTCTGATGGTGGAGCAGCACTTTAACGTGGCAACAAGTGCCGATCAGATATGAAAAATGGAATTAAAAGAAGAGGGAAATGAAGAAGCACCAGTTGTGCAGGGATGTATGTTTACTTGGAGCTCAGGGGTGTATAAAAACGTATTAAATGCCATAATGGGGGACGGGGAGGCCACAGTGTTAGGACTGCGTAGATCTAAGCCTCTTTTTTTTCCTTTTTTTCTTTTTTTTTTTTGGTTGGGAGGGAGCTTTTCTTATTCAAAACAGCCCCACAAAAGACTTCCAGTGAGCCTTGCCACATCCCCATCTGACTTGGGGCCATTCATCAGCCTTCCAAGCCTATCAATGACATGTCCCCATCAGGGCTCCTATAAAATCAGCCCCTTTCCCATGAAACATCAGCAAACATTTTGACGGGTCTGGCTTTCCCCCCGCTGGATTTCTGGAGTCTACTCCTTCTTCCCCCCCCCCCCACCCCACCCCTCTCACTCCTTTCCACCCTTATTCCCACCTCCCCCTCTCTCCTCCGCCAACACCACCCCTCTCTGGGCGAACCTCAGATCCTCAATATCTCCTGTGACGGGCAGTGGTCACGGAAACACAGAGCGGGGAAAGCAGAGAGCTGCTGAGGAGGGGGAAACGTGCACCGAGCCATTTTCTTGGAGGAGCCAGTGCCGTTGATGGGAAGAGGATGCATTGTGGGCTGCTGGAGGAGCCTGATATGGATTCCACAGGTCAGTCCGGTTAAACTGTGCATGTGCTGAGAAACTCGGCTTCTGTTCACAAACGCTCCCGCTGCACCTCTCAAACTTTCTCTGGAGTCCTTCAGAGGGACCATCCGGATGCTCCTCTGATCAATTTAACCTTTTAGATTTCTGGTGTTGTTCACGAGGGACTTTTTTAAAAGGTTTTTTTCTCTTTTTTGGGGAGGGGGGGGGGGCATACAATTTTTTTGTAAGTTCCGCTTGGAGGACAAAATTGATGAGCAATTTCAGATTTCCAACAGTGGCTTTTTAGTTTCAGTATTTTATTGCAGAGACCAGAAACAGAAGTAAGTGCCTATTTTTCTGCACCTGCCACTCACTCTACAAGAGCAAGCAATTTATTTCACATCTCTCAGAATTTACTATGTAGTCAGAAACCAGCTGATTAAAAGATTCAAATTCTCAGGAGCAAAGAAGCTTTATCTTTACAAAAAAACTTTGGATGCTTCATTGTCATTTGGAAGATTTTGTTGGCATGTGTAGTTTGGTCATGAGTGTGTGTTGGTGATGAGCGAACAGCCGTCTCACTTGTTGATCAAATTTAATCCAATTATTCAGATCCCCAACTTATCTCTTCTTGTGGCAAATGAAGCTTGTGATCTGAGCCTCTGAGGAGAATTAGCTTCACATCACTGGATACACTTTTTCATTTAAAGGATTTTTTTTTTTTTTAAAACAAGGAAAGACTGACCGTGATGTAATAAAGAAAAAAGAATTTGAAACGTAAATTCTTGGCAAAAGTTTGTCTGCTAAGGTTGCAGAAGAATGATGCTTAAATTGTCAATACTGTTAAAAAGTTCATTTATTCTCATGTGGAACATAGAAAAAACACCTGCAGTGTTCACTTTCTTGCTAGCACTTTGCAGACTTTTTCTGTAAGATAAAAGTCAACAACAACATGCAGATTCTTCATCCAGTTCTAACTTCTGAAACTTTTCAACATCCATTTCCACCATCGCGTCCTGCCTGTCGTCTTTCCAAGTAGTAGCTGCAATGGTGCATGTTCTACAACTCATTTGCTCTGGAAAAAAAGTTACCAAATGAATCATACTACATGCAGGGTTTCTGGTTTGTTGCACTGGATAGAAATAACAGGTCTAGCCAGCTAGTGACGGAGAGTTTTTATGTTTTTTTCCTCCTTCATTCACATTTTTTTCTTTATTCTGTTCAGTTCAGCGTGAACAATTCACTTTACTTAGAAAAAAAGATTAAAGGAAAATTATTTTTCTGGACTCAAGTAAGTAAAACCAATATTAGCAATAATTGATTTTCTTTTTCGTAATATCAACACTCTAATGATTCCCCTCCTGGAAACAAGCAGAGGGATTTTGAATGGATTTCCTCTCTATCAGGCTGCTATTTCTACATGAAAGCCTTGATGTTTTGCTGCTGCTCGCTCACAGAAAGCACACCAGTTGAGCTATTCCTAAGTAGAAATTAAAACAGGACAATGGCCTCTATTCCACCAGACTGCTTCAGTAATATGCACAGCCTCTTTCAAGCTCATGTGTGCGCTCGTAGTCTTGAGGGAACAATGCTGGATTCCTGCCGTCTTTCTGAAAACACCTCAAATAGAGCCATGGCTGCACTGCTGACCATACAATCAATTGTTGTCAGCGCCTCCTGTCACATTAGTGACATTTTAAATGTTCTGTATGGGCACTGTTTACATAAATACAGCTTTGGCTCTGCGTGATCAAGGTAAAATTTTAAAAAGACTTTTTCAATTAAGAAAAAAAAGGAAATAAAAGGAATAAACTGATGTTTCAGCCTCATAACATCCTGTTTAAAGTAAGATTTTCAGGTCCTTCGTATTTTTCATTTGATTTGACAGCAGAATAAAGACACATGTTATGAGACTAAATTAGCTCCTTCGTGTCTTTTTGTAGAGAGCTGGATTGAAAGATGCCTCAATGAAAGTGAGAGCAAACGCTACTCCAGCCACACGTCTCTGGGGAACATGTCCAACGACGAACGTAAGCAGGGCAAACGCTGCTCACACCTCTGAGGAACCTGTGCATGAGCTGTCTGCTTAGCACACAAACTGTCATTTTACCCTGTTTCCACTAAACTAAGACCAGAGCAAAACAAGTTTGTGTTGGTTTCAAACTCTTCCCATTTATGCACTAATAACTTCATTTCACCTGCCATGTGTTGCATGTTGCAGATGAGGAAAAAGAAAATAACAGAGCCTCAAAGCCACATTCAACACCTGCTACTCTGGAATGGTAAGTTGTCCTTTGGATAAATACTGATATTTTTTGTTATATCGTTAAATTCTGAAATGTATCACATACATTGGTTGTATTTGTCCTTAGATTTGGTGCAATTAGCGTTACAATGAATAATTGCTTCTGCGTCATATTTCCTGCTCAGCAATAGCAGCCTCAGTGTCAGATATGAAATTTGAAATGTTTTTATGTGTCAGACAGACTGCTAACGCATCAGTGCCAGTCTTTCACTGTACTGTTCATTTAAGCACTTGGGTCAAACAGGGAAAGAAACCCACAACGATCTGTTTAAATCTGGGTATTTGTTAACAATCTAGATAATTCCCCTTTATTTATTTGCTTTGTTCTGAATGCTATCTAAGCAATGTATTTACAGTGAACCACAGCTTAACGTTTCCTGCTTAGAAACACATAAAGTTAACTGTTTGAAATTGAACTGTACGTCAGGTGATAAAAAGCATCAGCACTGGGTCACTGGACAAGTCTAGACTCACAGAAACACTCTTTTCTACAGTAACAAGAAGAATAGGCTGCATTTATTTGGATCTGAACAATGTAATCGCTGAGGCACAACGCTTTGAAGCTGTTGAAACATCATGATGATATTTGAGGCTTTTGCTGTAACTTGTAAAACCTGATTGTATCTGATTTATTTAATCTTGCTCCCTTGAAAATATCTTGCTTTCAATGTTAGAGACTGTTATAATAAACTTTTGTTCCAAAGCTGTTTTAAAAAATGCAGTGAATTTATTGGTTTTCATATCTCTTATTCTCAGACGGCTGCTTTAAAAAGCAGCCTGTGTCTGGGGAAATATTTGCCATAGCTTTAATTCTGTAAAAGAAAAAAACTAATTCTATGGTGTTACAGTGTAGAAATACTTCTCTGCAGGTTAGTCATGCATATAAAATGTGATTTATGAAAAAGTGCATGTTGACAATTGACTAGCTGAGCTGAAGTAAAAGCATTAGAAAAATGCTACAAAATGAAGTTATACAAACATCATAAACATTTTTATGTACTTAGTGAACAAATCTTCTGACAGTTATAATAGGTTGTCTAAGTGGTTTTAAAAAATTCCCCTTTCAGCTGTTTGATTTTTTTTTGCAAACTTTAACCATAAAGTAGTTCAGAAGTACGGATGTTGGATGAATGTCATGTAGAGAAATGTTAATTCTGTCTCTCAGCTGCTGTTGGACATAAATTATGTAGAACGTGCTCCAAACATCAGAGTGTTTTGATCAATGTTCAGCATTTTTACTCATTTTCAGCCTGGTGTTTTGGCTCATTGACCACTGTTCAATCCACCTCTGAAAGCTTTGCAGAAAGATCTGAGACAGGATTAATTCATAGAAAATATTGAATTACCTGAATACCAAAGATGACTGTCAAGTATGTTGTCTTGTGAATTTTGTGACATAAACCAAACATACTAAAGAGAAAATTCTTGAAATATCTGATGGCTAGCTTGGTGTACCCCACGTCTCAGTTTTGGGTCCATTTTCATTTAGGATTTGGACTTTTTTTTTACACGGAGGTCAAAGAAATAATACAAAAACCATAAGGAAACTATGCTCGTTTATTTCTCTTATTTATCTCCTTTGTGCAGATTGTCAGTTAATTTAAAGTGTCTCAGTGTCGGTCTGTTTTAGACGAACATTATACAAACATCACTTCAAATGTAAAGAGTCATGTCCATTCAAATTATTGTGGAACATTTATCAAACATTTTTCTCAACAACTATTCCCAGTAAAACATTTGTCATTGGTGCTGTGATTTCCTGTAATCCTTAATCTCTGCTGATAGAAGAGTCATCAGACAATTGTTGCAGTCTGTCTTGTTCTGTACCAAACCTCAAAACCTGTGCAGATTCAATGTCACTGAGAAAAGAGTATTTAATCCATGTGTTGCTATAATGCTTTAATGTCCTATTTTTAAGGTCTGAATCGGTTCTGTTCGAAATTCTTATGTCATTTTTTCTATGTCACTCTTGCACATTTATAGGAAGTTACAGCTGACGTTTACCAGATTCTGAAATCTGGATGTGATTTTGTAACTCTGACACTCTGGCATGTGTTATGTTGTAGGTTAGAAGAAAACTATGAGATAGCCGAAGGTGTGTGTATCCCCAGAAGTGCCCTCTACATGCATTACCTAGACTTCAGTGAGAAGCACGACACGCAGCCTGTGAACGCAGCCAGCTTTGGAAAAGTGAGTCATGCTTCCAATTGTGACGGATAATAAATGTTCATCGTTTAAAACAAAGAAAAGTTCATCGAATAGCCACGTGAATGACAGATTTTCTTTTTGATTAAATATGAGGATTTTCTCTTTTTTTATATAGTTAAGATGTTGAAATAAAGTAACTCGAGGGGTCTGTTTAAAAAAATTAGCTTTAATCTGGTCCACTCGGCCGGCCACTAGCTGCAGCCTGATGGATTTGAGCCTGAGCCGGTTCAGCGCTGCCGCCCTGGCTGCTGTGTTGACGCTACATCATCTCAGTGTGAACACATAATCTAGAGCCAAAGGAGATGTGCTTTCGTCTGTTCCCACAACCCCGAGATGTTCCTCGGCCTTCCTACCCCCAGCCATCCCCAGTACCCTGGATTCCGGCCCCAACCCCCAACCCCAGGCCCACCCCCGCCCCTCAACAGCTCCTGTCGGAAGATATTGAAAAAGAGAAGGGGCCTGGATTAATGTGTAATTAAAGGAAATTTGGAAGGGTGAGATGTTGCGGAATGTTAGATCAGTGGCTGGAGCAGTGTGGGGTGTCCTTTAGGAAGGCTTCATTGATTCGGGACAAAAAAACGAGAGAGGGCCCGGACTGCCTCCCTGTCTGCTCATTTATCAAGCACGGCCTGACAGAAACTTCACAGCTTGGCCTCTTTTTTCATCCCACACAATGGAGAGCTACACTGTTTGCTAAAGTTTCTGCACCAGGAGCCGGACCGAGCGGCCAATCTTTTCGGATAAAAAGAGAGTAGAGGAAGAAGGAAGGAGTGCAGATGAGAGGGAGCGAGGATGAGCGCACGAAAGCAGGCCGTTGATGAAGAAAAAATGTAATTTACTGAATGTAATTAATAGAAAACTTTTGGATTTAAGGTTACAGAGCTCACAGAGGATACTGGTGTAAGGGATTTTCTTTTAACTGTCATGTTATATAAGGCTTACAGTGTTCTTATTAGCTAATTAGTGAAATGAATATCACTTCTTTTTTTAAAAATAATTCTTCATGTTAATCCGTGTCACCTTCCTTCCGTTCACTTTCTTTTTTAAATCAGTAGTGTTTTCAATACTTACAGCTTTTATCCTCTACTTTAAACAGATTATAAGGCAGCAATTTCCAGCACTGACTACCAGAAGACTGGGGACAAGAGGGCAGTCCAAGTAGGTTCTGGCTTTTAATTCCATTAATCTACAAATACTCTTTAAGATTCACCCCCCCTCCAAAAAACAGGGGATGTATTTTCATTGTGATATGCTGCAAAGATACATCACAACTGACAGAAGCTCATTTTGTATTAAACATTCTTGTATTATTACAAGAAAACTAATTCAATTTGGTGGTCAAATATGTCTAAAGTGTTCGTATTTCAGAACATTCACCTGTAGTCTGTTGTTTTTTTATTTGTCCGCCATTTCTGCTCCTTAGGTACCACTACTATGGCATCGCGGTGAAGGAGACCTCCCAGTACTATGATGTGATGTACTCCAAAAAGGGGGCGGCGTGGGTGAACGAGACGGGGAAGAAAGAGGTCACGAAGCAGACAGTGGCGTATTCACCGCGCTCCAAACTGGGGACGCTCCTGCCAGAGTTTCCAAATGTCAAAGACCTAAATTTGCCTGCCAGCCTGCCAGAAGAGAGGGTAAACAGGAGTTTTAAAAGTCCATCCTCGCGGCCCCCGCCTCACCTCACCTCTCCCTGCCGTTCTACCATCTCTCTGCCCCCCTCTGGCTCTTTTATCTGGGTTTGCGTTTAGAGAAGGACCTTGAGGATTTATGTGCTGGCTCCTCACTAACTCTTAATCTTTTGGGAGAGATAATAAGATTGAGCAGTGGACAAAGGACAGGCACTAGCTGTCCGGCTTTTAAAGGGGGGCCATGATTTTAAATGGTTTGTGTTTTGCTGATCTCTAAAGCTCGTTTTATATCACTCTGCTCCAGCCCAGACTTGTAACATGTATTTATAGGTTCACATGCTTTGTTCCAGATTTATTTTCTTGTTTTTGTCACTCGTGCTTTTTTTTCTCTTTAGTTTCCCCCAGAAGAGAAGAAAGCTCGGAGGTGTATCTGCAATGAGATTAACACTCTTTTTGGCCCACAGGTGTCAACCTTTATAATGATGTACAGGACACACTGTCAGAGGATACTGGACACTGTTATTCGCGCCAACTTTGACGAGGTAAGTTTTCTCCCGCTTTGGCCCACGCATTGGTTGAAGTTGTGCTGCAGCAGACTCACTCTCTGTCAGAGCTTCCTGTAATAACCAGCCTGACTTCCTGTCCGGCACCTGCAGGTCCAGAGCTTCCTGCTGCACTTCTGGCAGGGAATGCCGCCTCACATGCTCCCCGTCCTCGGCTCCCCCACAGTGGTAAACATTGTGGGAGTTTGTGACTCCATCCTCTATAAGGCCATTTCTGGGGTACTGATGCCCACCGTCCTGCAAGCACTGCCTGACAGGTGAGCACCTGCATCTGCTATATAATATATAGATATAGTTTGTCCTTTTTAGTCAGCTTTAAAGCCAATGTTTAAAATGTATTAACGCCGTGTAAGTGTTTGATCATCAGTGGTGTGATGGTTCAAGCCTCCACAGACATGTTTAGTTTTTTCCTAATATTACTTGTGTACAGCAAAAAGCACATTACACTGTGAGTTCAGGGCGAGGTTACAACTAAAACAGATTTAACAGGAACATGAACACTGCATGCAAGAATATTTCATAGTTGGTGATTTAAAAAAAAAATTTTTTATTACTTTTGACCGGCGAGGGAAAAGTTTCATTTGAGGCTGACTAATAAACTAATAAACTTCAAGATCTTGACGGAGGATTTGCTGCTCAAGAATAGGATGAATGAACACTGACGGCTCCTGTTGCTTCTCTTCTGTGCAGTTTAACTCAGGTTATCCGAAAATTTGCCAAACAGCTTGATGAGTGGCTTAAAATAGCACTTCACGACCTTCCAGAAAACCTGAGAAACATAAAATTTGAATGTAAGCAAATTATATCTTCACATTATAGAAAGAATATAGATTCTGTGTTTTAGGTAACAAAAGACACTCAATACAGAATTCTTTCTGCTTTCTTTTTTTCCAGTGTCAAGGAGATTCTCCCAGATTCTGAAACGGCAAACATCACTAAACCATCTATGTCAGGTGTGTATCAGCATCAGGATGTTTTTAATAAAATCTGTATGAAGGACAGAGCTGATAAGGGACACGTGTGTGCACGGCTGAGCCATATTGTGGATTTATCTGTCCGCAGGCGTCCCGGACTGTGATAAACAGTGCCGACATCACATTTCAAATGCTGGAGGACTGGAGGAATGTGGACCTGAACAGCATCACCAAGCAGACACTTTACACCATGGAGGACTCGCAGGAGGAGCACAGACATCTCATTATCAACTGTAAGTCCACGCAGTTAAACTGATTTCCACACGGGCGGAGAGTTACTCTTCACTCCCACATAAACAACCCGTTGGGGAACAATCATTCCCACGACCAGCAGAGTCAAAGCATTGACGCTGAAGACCAAAAGGTTAAACAAGTTCAGTCTCCTTTCAAACACCCTGTGGAGTTTCCTCAATTCACTCGCTCCTGACGGGAGCAGAGGTCACCGATATGTTGACGCTCCTGCATTAAGATGCTGTTTGTGTCCGGATCCTTGTTTTTAATGTGACGAGCCGCAGACTGTGACCTGCCGTACTTTCTCCCGTCGCAGTGTATCAAGAGTTTGACCGTTTATTGGAGGAGCAGTCTCCCATCGAGGCGTACATAGAGTGGCTGGACACCATGGTGGACCGCTGCGTTGTCAAGGTGAGACGGCACAAACCTTTTTTAACTTAAGTGAACGCGTTTTTGTGATGATATTCTATTTAGTTGAAGTCTGTCATCATTAGACCACCAGTGGTGACAGACTTCTGATGGTCGTCCTTGTAAAGGCACCTGTGGCTAAAAGCTGCTGGCCTCCGCATGAATCCCTCACAGAGAGGCACTTGCATCACAGTCTTCCCAGTTAATGATGTCTTCAAGCTTCCCATTTGCGTCCATTATGTGCCAGATATGGGCTTGTAAAATGTGGTCGCCCCGGCAACGTCCTGCACCGCCCAGACAATAGTTCAATGGGATGGCGTGTCCCTGGGGGGAAATTAAATAGTTGACTTGTTGACATGTTTTTCGTTCCTGAGAGTTAAGCCCTAATACGAACCCAGGGGTTAATTCTACCCCAGCATCTCCACCCTTCCCCCTCTTTTCTCATGGAAATGTTCTCTCTAGGTGGCAGGGAAGAGGCCCGGGTGCCTGAAGAAGGTGGCCCAACAGTTCCTGCTGATGTGGTCATGTTTTGGTACCAGAGTCATCCGGGACATGACCCTCCACAGTGCGCCCAGCTTCGGTGAGTCACTTATGTTTCATCATTATGCAGCACAGAGGAAATCCAGAAAGTTACCCAGATGTTTTGTGCATTCAGTTCTTTATTATGCCATGCACGCATGGTTCCTGGCATTCAAGGATTAACACAGAATTTAAAAAAAATTGCTTTTGACATATTGATTTCTGACTTTTTTTTCTGCCCACTTTTTCCTTATTATGTTTAAGAAAAACATAATTATATAACTGAATTTATTTTTATCACATCCATGATGTTTACAAATTCCGTTTTCCAAGTTGTCACTGACAAATGGTCCAATTTACATCTCACAAATCCACCTTACAGCATGAGATTTAAGCCTGAATTTAGGAGAAAGGACGAGAGGGTAAAATGGCTGCTGCTTTCACAGCTTTACTGTGGAAAACCAAAGTTTGCAGCGAGTGAAGAGCAATAAAAACGGAAGGAAAGAAAATGGCTTCTCTTTCCTCCACTTGTGTCCTTTGGCTGTCTGTGAATGTCAAAGACACAGCTGGTAGCAGTGTTTTGATAAAGCAGGTCTCTGTGCGCAAACAGCTAATTAACAAAAGCCGCCCCTCCCCTCTCCCGGTGTGTTTGCCTGTCTTTTCCATTTTATGACCGGTCAGTATTGCACTGCTCTTTCCTGAATAGCCACAAGTGTTTATTATGCGCACGGTGGCAGCGGCAAATGGCCACAATGACACAATTGTGACGGCACTCCCTCACGGCCTCATCCTTCGTGTGACCCCGGGGTCAGCTGACATATTTCTGGCACCGAGTCCGTACACGGACACCAGCACGTGCTCCTGTCACGCCGCAGGATGTGATGTCATCCCACAGATTTAGACATTCCTAATGATCATCAACGATTATGTCACCCATTGGCTTTAATTGGCTTTCTTCCAGTTGGTCGGATGGTGTAATTTAAACACGGTTTCGATCAATCACTCTTTTTTTTTTTTAAGTAACGCTTGACTGTGTTTTCTGTGTGTCTACAGGGTCCTTCCACCTGATCCATCTCATGTTTGACGATTATGTTCTTTATCTGCTGGAGTCGCTGCACTGCCAGGAGAGGGCCAACGACCTCATGAGGGCCATGAAAGGCGAGGGCAGCACGGGTGAGGCCACAGCTGGCTTTATGACTCCAGCCTGAATTTATTCTTCTTACTTACTATATTCATAGAGATCAAAATGGAATACATACGTATGAACACTATAGATGAATTAAAGAAATTTGATCAACTGATCCCCGATTAAAGGACTAGATCTGTGAAATCTCTCAGTAGTTTATTTGCTTTAGAGCTGAAACAAAAGCTGGATAGCTGATCTATGAGCTGGTCAACAAAAAAATCTGTTTGTCATGCTTGGAATCGATGTTTGTGCACAGTGACAGATCTTTCCTTTTCTTCCTTCTAATTTAGACATGACTTGGATAGGCTAAAAGGTTGAGGGAGGTTGGCTTTGAGCAAAAGTGTAAAGCAAAGCTAGTGTTTGTCCTGTCTTTAATGGTCTAAAAAGCTGTTATCTCACACCCCCTCCAGCAGAGCGGGAGGAGGATTTCACCATGACAGAAACCGCCCCCACCTCCCCGTCTCCTGGCTCTTACTCCCCGACCCGGTCGGTTCACTCTGTGGGCGTGTCCTCGGCCAGCTCCCCCACGGCGGCCGTGTCCCCCGAGTACACCGGGGTCCCCGCCACCACAGGTGAGCCAGCCCCTCCAACCCCCAGAAACCGAAAGATGGGCACGCGTAGCTGCTCTGCACCAAAAACGTTTGTTTCTGTGTCCACATATGTGTCTACCAGGCGCTGTTCAGTCATATACCTGGTCCCTTACGTACACAGTGACAACGGCAGGCGGCTCCTCCCCCGAGGCCGGCCAGCAGCTGTCCTGCATGAGGAGCAGCGCCCCAGTCCCTTCTCCATCCTCCACCCACAGGATGCCAGTCTACACCCACAGAGACGAGCACGGGTGACTATGACTGCGTGATTAAGGCTGTTATTTTCAGAGGTCTTCTTTAGGTCAGTTTGAATTTGCTTCATTGTGAACGATGCTGTTGCAGGTATACGGGTAGCTACAACTACAGCGGTTACACCAACCAGCATCCCCACGCCATTCAGAGCCAGTACCCGAGTCTGGCCCACGAGCCAGCCATCCCGGCCCCCCTCCACTACTCCGCCTACCACCGCTCATCTGCACAGGTCAGTTCGTGGAAGGCGTTCACCGACATCTAGAATGAACAGATGATTGACTAAAACAGTCTATATTTGGATACAGAGTTTATTCAGACACATGTGTTATTCCCTGGTAATTACAGAATTAAAAACTAATGCAACGCTTTGCGAGACATTTCTTAGATTCTGCTGTGGCAACACTTTCATCCCTTAAAGAAAAAATGCTTTCAGACTTCTCCAAATTAGATTCTATTTTATAAATAAGAACAATAGTTTTTGGTACATGGTTAATTGGGAGCATTGCTGTTTTAAGTCCATTAAATTCATGTATGTGACAAAAAGTGCATAATTTTTTTCCGACTTTTATTGCAACACATTTGAAAAGAATCATGCATCAGTGCATGAGTGCAACTAAAACTAACCCTAACTCCCTGTCAGTCAACATTATCATGTATGACCCAGATCTTTCTGAATGCCTCAAAGGTGAATTGTCTAAACTGTATGTATAGTTTTCAGCAATTTTTGCATGAGTTCAGACAATCTTACAAAGAAACTGTGCAGTTGTTTCAGAAAACTGGTAAAATGCCAGACCATCCAACAGGATGTTGATATGCTCCATGTGAATACGGACCAGTTTAAACAACTGCAGCTCTAACAATTGAGGACAGGAAAGTGTCCTCTCAATGTGTGGACCGTGCTTTTTAAATGATTGAGTGAGAACTGAAGCTTTAAATGTGAGTAGGGAGAGGACCCAATTCATTCACCGACGTTATAGCTCATGTTGGAAATCGTGTGAATTCAGTCTTTGGTGCTAATTTCCTGTTGAGGGTCCTCCAGCCTGTGCTGCTTTGAAAGTGGGAGGAGATCAGCTGGGCCTCAGAGCCCACAGTGTTTCTAAAAGTCCCTGAATCAGCCTCTCCACTAAGCGGAAGCAGACAGTAAAAGGTGGCTTGGCCGGGGCCAAGAGGGGCCCTGCTCTGTTACTTCTCTTTCCAGCCTTCAATGGTCTCTTCATCTGTTTGAGCCAGTTGCACAGAGCAGGGCAAAGGGGCGTTTATTAAAATATTGTTATTCAATGGTCTCTTTTCTGCTTGTGAACAAGAGGCGGCTGAGAAGTCGGCTCTGCTCTGACTGTCTTTTTCCGTGTCGTGATCTCTCATAATGGAATCGACTGTTGTGTTTATATTTAGCAAGATAAAGGAGAAAGGGTCTTACTTCCACTTTTTTTTTTTAGAAGCGTCGGAGATTAAATGGGGCACAATGCCTGCACTTTGTCAGCGCAAGAGTTTGGACACAGAGCTGAAAACTGCCGGATTCCCAGCTGTCCGAAATATTTTTGTCAGCAGGCAGATTTAGTCAGTTGTGTCTGTGAGCCGTCACCACCGGCAACATAAATAACACAGGAAAAGCACTTTTTATGACAACCTTAATTTCTCTAATGACTTCATTGTCCATTTTGACCACTTTGGCACAAGTTGAGACGTAATTTCCCGTGACAGGAAATTACCAATGACTGTGTCAGTTCTGACAGAAAGCAATAAGGTCAATTCAGCTCCAAATATGTGACCAGTGGGGTCAGACCCACCGTCGAGAACACTGAGGATACTTATGTTGGACAAAAATACAAGAGTGCATTTCTGGAAAAGTCAAGCAATAACCGGAGACACTGTTTTACTTTCAGGTGCAAAAAAATCCAGTAGGTTTATTTCTAATGACAATTACATAACCCCTTTTCTCTCCTTTCTCCGTTCTTTGCCACAGTACCAGCAGATGTCTCGAATGGAGCCTTGTTTGATGGGCAGCACTCCTCGTTTGCACCCCACACCTGTCGCCCCCCGGTGGCCAGATGTGTCCCCTGCCAACAGCTGTTACACCAGCCCACCTATGCATTCGTCCCGATACGGCACCTCCGGGGACATGTACTCTCCCCTTGGCCCTCGCAGGAACTCAGAGTATGAGCACTCGCAGCATTTCCCTGGCTTCGCCTACATCAACGGGGAGGCCACCACAGGCTGGGCCAAATAGAGTCCAGACACTTATTCGGACATTTGTGAACAAGCTCCACGCCTGAAAAGCCGACAGGGGCAAGGTCCCCGGACACTTTCAGCAAAGGGCATCCAGAATAAGGAGCAGGGGCCGAGAAGTACCGGCGTCTGGTCGCACTGACAATTCGAAAAGACACATTCCATCAGTCGCTCTGATGATTGTGGCATCATTTGTTCAGAAGGGGAAATATGAAATCCTAAAGATATTCAAAACTTGCAGCTAAATCGTTTGAAGAGTGCAATGCTGCTGCCAAGCTGTGCCTTTGTTTTGAGGAATGTACGCCTGCCAGAGTTTTCCTCGTCGGTGCACGACGTCGTCCCACCAACCAGCAGTGGTCACGGACTTCAGTACAATCCCAGAGACAGAGCGTTCTCCTCCCGTTGTTCAGCACTGTGCAGCATCCTGCCGCCATGAGCTGCACCGTCTTAACCCTCGGTGACCTTCATCGATGTGTTAAGGTGTTGTCTTTTTTAATAGTTTTTTTTATGAGTAAGTGCTGTGACTTAAAAAACAAGAGTACTCTGTTGCAAGCTTTTCGGCTATTTTCTTGTGACTGTATATATATGTATATATATATATATATATATATGTATGTATGTATATATATACAAATATATATATAAATATATATATATATACAATATGTATTTTCTGTAACTTTGTAACATGGTGTATTCTTTATTTTCTATGTTACAAATGGTATTTTGTCTCTGTTTTGTATGGTTAGAAAAGGATGCATTAACTTAGGGTTGTGTGTTTTATAATGCACTCAAAGCTACTGAGGACCTATTACCCTATGGGTATTTATAAAAAGGGAAAATATCAAAGTGTACAGTAACATGAAGTCTAGTCACTTTTCTGTAAATAAAAGCACTGGAAGGCATCTGTGGTGACTGTTAAATCAAGACAGTTGAGACTAGTGTGGGGGAAATATGCTGCCACATAAATAATTTCACATTTTAAAACAGTCATTCTTGTCACGTCTTCATTTATCTTGTCTTTCGTTGTTTTCACCGTGGGGAAAGGTGCAAGAGCTTGCACTAAATGACCAGGTTTTGGAATGTAAACAAACTAATAAATACATTATGTTATGATGATCAGAATGGTAGCACTGGAGCAAAGCCTTGAGTTAAAAATACATTAGCTTCGGTCATTGTCTGTATATGTTAACGTTAAAACTTTCCCTCATTTGTTTAATCCACGTATTGCTGAAAAATTAGGAGAGATGCGTTCTGCAGTTGTATTTCTCCTCCCCTCTCAAAACACCAACCACACAACAGAGGGCTGGTCAACAGGCAGAAAAGCCACATTACAAGAATAATTACATTTCTATGGAGAGAATGTCCTGCTGTGTTGGGGTCATTGCACCTCAGTCTTATAACCTTTGACCTGTGGCCCCTGCCAGGGTTTTTATTTATTAGAGAGGGGATCCTGTGTAGCATCTCTGAAATCCTGCAGGACTCAAACCCATAGCATTGAATGCAGAACACTTTGTTTAAAGAAAGAAAAAAAAAAGATGTCTGCCCTTCATTGTGATTTAATCACCTGACCCGAGTGTCAACATCAATATCCGCTGAAGATCTCAGAGGGAGATCAGTGATCCGGTCAGCTGTGAGAAACATGGTGCCACCTTCAGCCTTCATCTTTGATATCACCGAAACACCACTGACACAGTAGTCTGGATTAGTGCCCACAGATAATTCCTAACACATCACATCAACACGAGTGGTTACAAAGGCATTCATTTCCATGAAACGAAGTAAAAAAAGGAACTTTTGAATTTAATAACACAAACATATGATTTGAAACAAAAACACACAAAAATTAAAAAAGACAATTTGAACACATTTCAGGCCAAAGGTAAAAACACAATAGTGGAAGTTTGTTTGCCCAGCCTGATATTTATCAGAACCTCACTGAATCTGGTCAGAAGTTGAATTTCACGCCAATAATTCCCATTGAAACCTTAAATAATTGAAGACATATGATCAGTTTGGACTTCGACTGGACGTCTGTGAAATTGTCATTGATTGTTTAATTGTTTGTACAGAGATGCTTTAAAAAGAATATAAACAAAAACAGAGTGTCATGATTTACAAAATCAATTGTATAAATTTAGTTGAAAAATAGTTAGTCTAAAATGTTTAAATGAATAACTGTTTTACTTTGGATTTTATGGAAATACATACGGGTGGCACGGTGGTGTGGTGGTTAGCACTGTCGCCTCCCAGCAAGAGGGTTCTGGGTTCGAATCCCGGGGGAACCAGGACCCTTCTGGGTGGAGTTTGCATGTTCTCCCTGTGTCTGCGTGGGTTCTCTCCGGGTACTCCGGCTTCCTCCCACAGTCCAAAAACCTGCATGTTAGGCTGATTGGAGATTGGGGAAATTGCCCTTAGGAGTGAATGTGAGTGTGAGTGGTTGTTTGTCCTTGTGTGGCCCTGCGATGGACTGGCGGACTGTCCAGGGTGTACCCTGCCTCTCGCCCGTTGACCACTGGGATAGGCTCCAGTTCCCCCCGCGACCCCATGAGGGAATAAGCGGCATTGATAATGGATGGATGGATGGATGGATGGAAATACATACATAGCAATACATAAAACTAATTTGGCAGAATGGCAGTGATGGGATTATCAGCATAAAGAGGCAGATTCAGGCTTTCTGGATAATAATATGGAGTTGTTGATCATCTAAAAGATCCAATAATAAGGAAAAAATGCACTGCATGAGCTCATTGACACTCTGTGGTGTGAAAAAAATGTAAAGAAGACATGAAACATAATACAAACAAAGTCCAGGAAGCTGCCTGCTCTGGAACACAGCTCCTTTGAGATGGACCGAAGCAAAGCAACTAAACTATCTTGTGGTCTTAAAAATCCAAATTTAAGATTTCGTTAGGAAACCCTGTCCAGTGCATCAATAAAAAGAGAAGGTTGCACATTTTTTAGCATAGCCTCTAAGTGAAAGATCAAAAAGTAAATCACTTAAGAGGTTTTAGGAGAACATATGTCAGTCCAAATGTTTCATATGAAGGCGTAGGACAAATGTTGTTTATCCCAGCAAGATGATGCCAAACAACAGCCTGCAGTGCACCATTTTCAACAGCATGGCTTGAGGCCATGGATCAGAGGGCTTCAGACAAGCTGTTCAGAAGAGGAGATTGTATATAATCATAAATGGATTTCCCTTCAAACTAGTTGCCTCCAATAAATTCAGAATTAGCAAGTAAAATTCTTCTCACTTCTCAGTTTGAAAATGACATGAAGAAGAAAAGTGAGGTATTTTTCTTGTTTTCACCCTCCCTTAAATTCGAAAGATTTTTATTTTTTCTTTATTGATTTAATTTGATTTTCTGTGGTAGCCAGATGATTATTTCTTCCTAGTTTTATGGGGCTCCTGTGTGGCACGGAGAACTGCCTCAGAGGAGGAAGCACACCTGCTGATGGAGACAAACAGGGGAGTTTCCTCCTTGACAGCAGCTGTCACAAAGTTAGCCTGCCAGCTAGTAAGCTAGCTGCACAACACTCACTGATAACATCCAAACAAGGCTGACTAGCCGTGTTGTGCGAAAACCCACCATGGATTTGAATAGCATCTTGACGCAGCTCCTAACCGCAAACGAAGAGGACATAGAGAAGCTTTTGCAGCAGTACAGTCGAGAGGTGAGTCGCGCGTTTGCTCCTATTTTTCGCAACCAAAACAAACGGAGTTGCTAACTGTTAGCCGGCTAGCTAAGCAGCTAGCTTCGGGATAGGAAAACGTCTGAGCCGAAATCTTTTCCGGCATTTTAGCTCTGTCAAATTATTGCTCAGAGTTAGTCGTGTTACACAGGCTCTTAGGGGAAAACCAGCGTGTAGGACCGTCATATCTCGTTCGCAGCATCAACGCAGAGTGGGTGAAGCTAACGCTGCCTGCTCCCTCCACCGCACAGGGAGAGCCACTTTAGGTGTCTCTCTGAAGCCATATATTCGTTTTAGAAAAAGTTTGGATTTGAAAGGGGGGGAGGGTTAAGCGTACGCCTGTGTCTAATGAACGTGTTTTCTGTTTCAGAACACACAGACCTTCTCTTTTGACCAAAAGGAGGAAGCCCTGAGGAGTGTATGTACCAGCTTGCCAGCAGGTTGGGATCTGATGATGAGGGAGAGGCCGGTGGGCCATAACACCAGTCTTTCTCGCTGTGTCATTTCAGAAACTGTGTCAGGGTGTGTTGACGGTTCTTGGAAGGCCGGCGCGGCCCAGCTGTCAGAAGACGTGTCTGGAGACCCTCCGCATCCTGTCCAGGGATAAGCGAGTCCTGGCGCCGGTGGCCACCAGGGAGGGCATGCTGGTCCTGGCCGGGATGGCCCGGCTGCGTGCCGGACAAGGGGAGGACGAGCAGAATGGCTCCGGGGAGAGCGCGCTGTCCGCCGAGGAAGAGAGGGTGGTGGTGGAGGCCCTGAAGTGCCTGTGCAACGTGGTGTACAACAGCCCTGCGGCTCAGCAGGTCAGTGTGGACGTCCAGCTGGCCGGTGGCCTTTGCGCCAGCCTGCGCGCCGCACACGCCTGGCCGCACGAGGTGGGCCTGTTCACGCTGCGCCTTCTCTTCCTGCTGTCTGCCCTCCGACCTGATGTGAGAGGGGTTTTGCGGAGAGAGGGCCACGCTGTGAGGCTGCTGACAGAGGTCCTGGAGCACACTCTGGACGTCCAGTGGGTTGGTCCCTACGAGGCCGCCCACGCCGGCCCACAGGCTCTGCCCATGTCCACCGAGGACAATGAGCGAGCCATGGAGGCCCTCAAAGCCTTGTTCAACCTCACGCTTTCTGAGGCTCGCGACGAGGTGAGTATGTTGTGGTTATGTGATGAAATTCTAGGTTTTGATTACACGCCAGTCGTAAGTGTTTTAAGTCTAAGAGCCAAAGCAGATGTTTGGGCTTCCTCTGATGCTGTTAATAGAGTGGAATGCAACAAAGTTAAGCAGGACACATTTCTTTGATCTTTAAAAGATTTTTTTTTTTTCGTTCAATCAACTACGGTTTTAAATATCTGGAAAAGAAGAGCCTAAGTAAAAACATAGTTACCCAAAAATACACCTTTCTCAATTTCTGAGAGATATTTGTAAGCATTGCTGTATCCAAAGAGTTCTGATTATATAATCTGGAGACTATGCGAGGTATGATATCTTTTGGTGTTTTTCAATTCATAGCTTATGAATTATTATGTTTCAAGGTCGGTTGTCTTGTAGAATTTGAACTTTTAATTAGCTAGAATCAGTTTGGATTCATTCTTCCATCTACCAGTAAATGTTTCCTGGGTCTGCAACACAAGTCCAAAGTGTGATCGACCCGACTCCCTGTTAGACAGGTTTTTCCTTAATGAACTTCTGCTTTTCTTTTTCTTTCTTTCTCTTTTTATTTGACGCAAAGCTAACTTTTCTTATAGCAGTTAAAAAAAGGAAACACCTAACGCAACGTGAGTCTGAGCCATATAAAGTGTAGCTCTTAGGGTAATTGTCGTTGCTTCTCTTATAGAAATCCAGACCTCTTCCTCAGTTTTAATGTGTCTCTGCTGCATTGTCTTTCATAGACTCTTTTGATTAAATTTCAGTGCTCCCACTTTTTTTAAAGAGGTTTTCCTGTAGTTTTCCTGTAGTTTCCCTCTGTTCGTCTTCATGGTTTATAAGAACAAACGTCTGTTTAGATTCTGAGATTTCTTTTCATGCTTGGCACCACAGGAGGATGACCACCAGTTCCGACTCATCGCTGCCATCCTGCGTCACCTGTTGATGCTGAAGACGGAGACGGAGGACAAAACGGAGGAAGCACACAGGTGGGAATCGTGTCCCGGCTGCTCCTCTCGCATCCAGGTCTTGTGTTAGACTGCAGCCTCCATACAGACTTCAGGCTTTGTGCACCACAGAGCCGTGGCCTGGCTTAGCCCCAAACTGCTGCCACTTGTACCGGCCTTCTTCTCAGAAGGTATTGTGGAAGCCATTTGCCCAGAAAAGCGAACTGGACTGCACCTGCAGGGCTTTGTCATCTAAAAGCTCTCTCACTGCAGCAGCAGTATCCTTTTGTATGGAGGGTTTATGCAGGAATCCCAAGAATTTGTGGGCCAGGACTGAAATTTAAAGAGTGGCACGTAAAAGTGACTGACGATCCTCTTTAACTGCCAGCCTGATATGGTCACGGGAGTTTGACCCACTCACCGACCTGCTCGCAGCTCCTTGGAGAGTCCTGGACAAAACTGGACTGCCGCTGAAAAGTGTCTCTGGATGTTTTTATCTGGAAAACAGCAAGGTTAATTTAATCTGTTTGGTCAAACAAATGGAGAGTTTAGTCTGACTGCAAACAGAAGCACTGCTTAGGCCTCAGACACGGCACCAAAAAATCCTTTTAATTCTAATTGTAGAGGCCTTTCCAGTTAACATTATACACATATATTGGCTGGGTAAAATAATAGGAAGAATTTGAAATAAAATAAAATAATGTTCCAAACAAAGCTGTTGTTCCAAAGGTTATGTTCTATGTACTTTCTTCAGGATAGAAATTAGGATTTCTGATTTTAAAAACCAGCTGCTTTTTTCCAGCCATGCTATCAACCTTCTGAACAACCTGCCTGTGTCCTGCCTGGACGTGTTGATCAACCTGCCCGTTCAGGGAGGACTCGAGAAATACGGTGGGAAAAACATGGAGGTGGTGCAAGTGTTGCTGGACTTCATGGAGAAGAGAATTGACAAGGTAAAGTTTGGCCTCCGCAGAAAAATACATCACACAATACCGTCTCATGCTGCTGATTCGTATAAAAAAAAAAACCCCACCTCCAAGTGACAAAGTGCATTGATTTTGCAGGACCCTAACAGGAGTAAAACACAAAAACCAGAGCAGCAAAAGGTCAACGACATGGTTTAGCTCTCCCTGGTTTACATTTTAGATATTGGTTATACGTCATTATAACTGAAATACAACCAGTTATACAGTAGTGGTCTTTTCATTGGTCAAACATATTTTGGAGGAGATTTTTTACAAATAAAAAGTTTTTGTGAGAGGAACGCATTGCTGTGTTAGCGTGAAAAAGGACCTGTCTGTGAGACAGACAGTAATGATGAGCTTAGAGCTTTGCTTTGATTCCTGATAGACATTACTTGACTGAGCCGTTACATAGGCGTTTATTTCCTGTTAGGACTGACCAAAAGGGGAATCCACCTTCCCCCGTGTCCCGTTCTGCTCAGACTGTGAAATGTTTGTGCTTCTTCTTTTTTAACTCCAAGCAGGGCTCCAACTACAAGGAGGGTTTAACTCCAGTGCTCAGCCTTTTAACCGAAGGATCCAGATGCCACAGAGAGATCCGCAGATACATCAAAGCTCAGGTAACACAGCCCGCGCCACCGGATGACCCGGAGAATGAGTCCTGAACTCTGGTGAAGGTCCAATCTTTCTGATCTTTTTAGATACTTTGGTATGAGGATAAGTCCCTGTTCTCTCCAGGTACTCCCCCCTCTGAAAGACGTGAAGATCAGGCCAGAGATTGGCAGCGCAATCAGAAACAAGCTGGTTCGATTAATGACCCACGTCGACATGGGCGTGAAGCAGACGGCCGCCGAGTTTCTCTTCGTGCTCTGCAAAGAAAGCGGTGAGGGGGAGACGAGTGCTGTGGTGAAGAAATGCCACGTTCAAAGCCCGGCGGCGTTTTGAAAAGTGCTCTGTGGTGTCGTCTTTCAGTGGACAACCTCTTGAAATACACTGGATACGGAAATGCGGCCGGACTCCTGGTGGCTCGCGGTCTCCTGGCAGGAGGGAGAGGAGAGACGCAGTACTCTGAAGACGAAGACTCAGACACAGAAGAATACAAATCTGCCAAACCTTTGTGAGTGACGAAGAATTGCGTCTTGGTCTAAGGTGCCATTGGGCGTGACTCGTAAAGCTCTTTACTGAATCTTTGGCAGCATCAACCCCATCACCGGTCACGTGGAGGAGCCAATGCCAAACCCCATCGAGGAGATGACCGAGGAGCAAAAGGAGTACGAGGCCGAGAAACTGGCCAATATGTTTGACAAGCTATCCAGGTAAGACTTTGTCAAATGTTTTATCGTATGAATAAAATAGGAAACCGATCGTCAGTCCTTTCACTTAGTGAAGGTGTGTTAATTTAGTCTAATTTTCTCGTACGCTCTGACCCCAAAAAATAAATCCTGTACCTACCACCAGAAAAGGATATAGAGGGTTTGTAGGAAAAAGTAGAAAACAAGGACCAAGTCTATGGGAAAACGTAGAATTCAAAAAGTAGACAAAAAGGGAAAAACTGCACACACAATTCGATTCCTTCTCTGCAGACTCAAACGATGAGGTTGTTGTGTTTTGCGGGCCTGTTGTGAAACTTTCCCTCTCGGCGTCAGAAGCTTCTGCTGTGTTTGTGTTGACCTTTTCCTCGCTGAGCAGAAGCCAGCGTTACCTGAACAAAGGTGACAAGCGAGCATGTCCCTGCCAACCAATTCGTCGGCAGAAGAATCCGCCGGGCGGACGCGGGCTCAATTAGGGCCGGGGCTCCCGGCACGCCGGAGCATTCAGCCCCGGCCGGCGTGCCGCTGCAGCATCATCACCACCTCCACATTAATTATCCTCTAATTGGCACGCCGCGATGACTTGTGGGCTCCGGCTCCTTTATGTGCCGCATTCAAGTTTTTAATGACGCCCGGGCCCGACTTTATTTCCACCTCGCGCGCGAGGATCCAGTCAGCGGCCGGGGGAGGAGTGGACTGAGACGGAGGCACAACTAGACAAAACAATTTTGCTGGATGAGGAGGAGAATAAACGAGCGGGCATAAAGAAAGCCATTGTGGGACGAGGAGGGCGTTGAGCCGTAATGAGACGCGTGCGCCCCGGAACGAGCAGATTCCTCTCCAGGACCGCGTCCCCTTTCATCTCCTCCCCCTCCACCGTTAAGATGCGGTGATGACAGAGAGGCGGCTCCATCAGCACGGCCGCTAAGGAGATCGCCCTCCGCCCCGCAAGAATGTGCTGCCCTGACTGCGTAGCCGCTCCTCCAATTAGCACATATTCCGCCCCCACACCCCACCCCTCACACCTGCCACACGTCCTCCGTAGTTCCCCAGGAAGAGAATCCAGGTTGCCTCTAATTGGGGGATATGCTGCGGCACATTTTTCATGTCATCTTTACCTGAGGCCGTCCATGCCCCACAGCCCCCCTAAAGAACTGAACATGTAGCCCGCCTCGCCCCGACCACGTTTGATTCCAGGAATCAGAGGGAATTACACGGCCATTTGTATTTAAATCTGTCAAGTAATGCAAATGGGCCCAGTTTAAATCTCTGATGGATGGTTTTTTAGATAAATCATCTCGGAGGGAGTGGTGACACACAGTGCAGGTATAATTGGATTAGGATGAAGGAGCAATGGAGGCTTTGAGGAGATTAGCCTGAGCACTGATCCTGTAATTAAACTGCCACAGGAAAGGAGAGCCGGGAGGGAGGTAGGATGGCTAGACAGTGGCGATTGTCCATGAAAGGGTGAGGGGGTGGGGGGGGCGGGTTGTGAGGGTCCTTGAGTTGTGTTTGAAAGAGAGAGAAAACCCATACAAGTGAAATCCCCCATTAACGTTGTCCATAGATACAAAGAAGCTTGAGCAGAGTTTTTTTTTTCTCCACATTTTTTTTAAATTACCTTGAGAAACAGACAGGAGGACAGCTTTGCTCTACAGACCCTCTCCATCCAGCAGGAGTGATGATTTAGTTTTTCTATTTACAGGCAGAACGTGATTCGGCCGATGGGCGTCAGGCCGGATGGGACGTTAGCCCCTCTGGAGGAAACCCTCTGCGATCCACCCGAGGATAACTCTGGATCAGACTCTGACTAAAAGCTTTGCATCGAGGCCACGCTTTCCAAACTAAGCCCACCGGGCACCCCCCAACACATCTAGACCTGTGTCCAATTTCAAGGGCTGGATTCTTCTGGGGGCTCTGAATCTGTGCCTCTGTCTTAAATGAGGCTTGAGTCTAGTCAGTCAAGCCGTGCTTACGGAATATTTCCCATTTAAATAAAGGACCGTCAGAAGTTCAAACAATTTTTGGACGAGCACAAACTGAATAAAAGCTACATTATTTTAGTATGTTACCAACAGAAACAGAACCCAACCAAATGGGGAAATGCGCAGAAGTATAAATTTCTGTTTATCGGGCATCAGGATAGAAAGAATGGTTAAATATAAACACAAAAAAACTGTCACTTTTATCTTTGACTAGACACGGATGAAGAGTGCAGTGGATTGTGGGATAGAGACTTTGATACCAACTATGAATTATGTAGTGAAGTTAAATAAATCCAACCTGTGTGGCCTCATTCTGACCACACTTTGGAATCGGACTGTCATTTTCAGTTCAGTTAAATTAGACCCAGTGATCCAGTCCTGAAGCGGGACACAGCTGAACACTTCACAGGAGAGTCCAGGTGCTCTGTGGTGGCTTTAAAGTGTTCTCCACAGTGGGAGTGGACCGATGTGTGGCAGGAAAGCTCCACCGGGCCCGCGGGGGGGTCAGAATGCATGGGCGGCCTTCACGGCGACTGTTGCATCATTTATTTTTCTGCTTCTTAGGTTAGCGGAAATAGAAATGATATTATTTTGCTGGATTATCTGTTTGTTTGTTTTTTACTTCAGACACTGTTGCCATGTTTGTCCTATTTCATTTGACTTATATATATTATAATGAAGCATTCCTTTACCCAGCCTTTTTAAAAATGATTTCATATTTATAACTCACATTCTTTAAGTTTACCTGTGAATTGGTAGATGAAGCGCACGTCACACAGGTAAATAAAATGCTCACATCAAAGGAGATGATAAGAAGAGGCCTGGCGTGTGGCAGCTCAGCGTCTGTCCGTGTGAGGACGTGTCCTCAGGAACGTTGCCAGCCGCGGCAGCACCGAGGAATCCTAAAAATTCAGGGCTCGCTTTCTTTAACGAAACCGAAAAAGAACAAGAACCTACCTTAAAATGTAGATGCGTTTTCCTGTGGTGGATCACAATCAACGTTTGCCGACAGGGAAATTGTTCTTTTTTCTTTCTTTTTTTTGTTGCCAAATCTACTTCAAACTTTTAAGGGGATAAGTGGTGACTTTTTTTTTTTTGCCCCCTCCCCTCAGAAATGTTGATTTTATATTAATGTACATTTCTGGTGTTTATATAAACTAAAAGTCCCTTTTCCCGTCAGAACTGCCAGGTCTGATGACGGCTGCATGAATGTTGTTTTTTTTCCCCTCTCCCGGTCAGTTTGATGGCGATTACAATCCAAAAGCTGAATATCGCTTTAACCAGAGCACACGTGTCATTGTTATAGAAAGAAGTGGAACTCTGTTCAGTAGTCAGTGTTCATGAGCAGACTTTCCTCCCCACCCGTGAATCACCACTACTGCCTGCTCGCACAGTACAGTAACTTTATACAAGGCTGTTAACATGGAGTCTTTTACCTGAGATTCCTGTTTTTAATCCAATGTTTTTTTTAAATATTTGGTCTTTAAAAATCCAATATTTGTTATGTTTCTTTACCTGCCGGTGTGATGCCTTCATAACAGACTCATTGCGTTACCCTGTAAATACTTTCATGTTCATCCACAATCATCCTGTGACACTTTAAGATGGCGTGCATCTGGTGAGAGTATGTCATACTTTGGTTCTTTCTTCATACTGTAAGTAGCACCCCTTATTTTATGTTATTTGGAGGATTCCACTGAGATGAATAAAGTCAGAAACTGAACGATTGTCTTATTCGAACTACAAAAACTTGCATGACACAAAAAGTTGCAAAAAAAAACAAAACTTTATTAAATATTGCTTAAAATACAATGATTCACTGATATTAAACATAACTTTATTTGCATCAGACATTAAAAAAAAAACATAAAACATTGATTAGTGTCTTGGACTGGGGCACTTCCGTTAACAATTCTGTGTGCACACGTGAACTTGAACACTTTTACTCTCGGAAGAAAAGCGGGCGTGAACGGGACCTTTGGAGTGTTGGGCTTCCGTCAGTTGCTCGGGTTGGAAGATCCCGAGCTCTTGCAGTCCGTTTCGGAGTCCGTCTCCTCGCCGCTGCTGTTGGCCGGTCTGGGCCGGGATGTTCCCGTGGTGTGTTCGGGCTCTGGCGCCGCTCTGCTCCGACACGACGACGTCTGGCTGCTCTGCGAAGGAAGGAGAGCGTCACGCACACAGAGTGGCTTTACCTGCAAACGCCCGGCTTTTTCTTTTTCCTTTACGTAAAGATCGGAGGTGTTGAAGAGCAGAACTCACCGATGCCTCCTGACTCCTCATCAGCTCTTGGATCTCGCTGCTCCAGCCGAGCATTTCGGCAAACCTCTGCACGGTGTCGGCCAGATCCCCCAGCTCCATGTGGTCCCCCCTCCGCAGCGGGGTCCTCTGGAAGGGGCCCACGGCGTGCCGGTTCAGGAGCAGGCGAGGCACTGTGGACCGCACCGTGTTCACCAGGCTGGCAAACGGCTCGATCTGAAACCATGGACCGGACGCCGTGAGAACACCTGTCGGGACCCGGGAGGTTTTCCTAAATGCAGACGCTTGCCTGTAAAGATGTGCCCATGATGATGAGCAGGTCGGCCTTGGGGAAGTCTTTGGTGTGCAGGAAATACTTCTGGGGCAGGTCCTCTCCAAAAAACACAACATCCGGCTTTACCGTGGCGGCGCAGAAGGAGCAGGTGGGGATGTCGCCGTTTATTATGGCGTCCTGTGACAGAAACAGAGGCGGGAAATGGGAGTGTGGGGATGTGTTTCGACGGCACGGTTCGGGACCGCAGAGCTGGACGTACTTTAGCCCTCTCAGGAGGATACGGAGTGTAGCACAGGTGACAGGACGCTGTGGAGAAGCTACCGTGGGCCTCCACAAGCTTGTCATCCGGGATGCCGCACACTGTGGAAAAAAAAGAAAACAAAACAAACACATCTTGATTGACATTAAAAGCAAACAGTTTTTTTTTTCCATAACGGAGCAGTAGCAGAAACTGGGATTCTTGGAGAAAATCTTCAAGCCACCTTTACTGACAAGAAGGTAAGAAACAGCAGCCGGCTGAAGCTTGGCTTTAAAAAAGGTGCATCAGTAAGGAAGAACAAAAAAACAAACAAAAAAAAGAGATTATTTAACAAAGAAAGACTCAGCTTTGGTGATTTGGTGCTTTGTTCCTTTTGTTCTGATTAACACTAGCCTACTTTAGGATAGATGAGAGCTGCATATTTCCGTCATAAAAATGGTGATAGGTTAATCTTTTCCGACTAAAAATCAAAAATTTTTAATCAAGTGAGTGAATTACTTGAGTCAAGCTCTCACAGCCACTCACATTTTTCCAGTCCGTCGATGTTCTGCGTGTACATCCGGAGCAGCAGGCCTTTGTGGTGAAGCATGCGGATGAAGTAGTGGATGTAGTTCGGTCGGTGGCCGCCGGGATACAGAGCCTTGGCCAAGGAAAAGAAAGGCTGCGGGTCATTGGAGAAGTAGTCGATGTTGAATATGGCTTCAGGGTAAGGGATGTTGAACTTCTCCAAGTTGGCGTAGAGGCCGGTTCCCGGCGTCCTGAAAAAGGAATGCGTTCGTTAAATCAAAGCCGGCGCGAGCCCCAGATGGAGCCGGGAGGAGAACCGAAAACCAGCCTGAAGTCCGGGATGCCGCTGGCTGTGCTGATTCCTGCTCCGGCCACCACCACCACGTTCTTACAGCGGCCCAGCTTCACCAGCCGGGCCACCGAGGCCAGACCCCCCCGGAAGGACCACTTGGTGCCGGGCAAAGATGAACTGCCCCGATCCGGACCAGAACCAGTGGACGGACACACGGGGTCGCCGCTCGTTTTGGAACTCTTTCCTTTACTGCAGAAAAAAAAACACAAATACAAACAAATCACCCATAATGCCAAAAAAGAGCTTTAGTCAAGATGGGAAAATTGACTTTTCCCTTAGATTCATCGTAAAATCCTTTCCAAAAGGTGCCCTGATGTTGTAGCCACACGAGGACAGAGGCCTTTTTATCCACCTACGGGCAATTTTATGTTCCTCCTGACTTCCTAAAGGCTTTAACCAAAAACACTAATCCCAGTTCGTGTCATCTTAAAGACACAGTTGTTTATTTCACCTTATAGTAACAATCCTCATCTTCTGTACATAAACCAGATAATTCTATGAGAGCCCTTAACGGCTGGACATTATAGGGAGGTTTTTACAGCTGAGCGGGGCAAAATAGTTACCAAACAATCCACTGAAAATCTGGAAATTTGTTTCAAACCAGCTCTCAGAGGGTTCATGCATATTAATATGTACACATGAGAGCACAGAGGTTATTTGATGAGGTCACTTTGGTCCCCTCAGGTCTACTTTCTGACCCAGTCGGTCCGATCTGGGACTGATCCGAGTTGGTCTGGGAGGGCTCGACCGCCCCCCATGGGCCGCCTGGCCCCTCACCTGGGGGGTGGGGCGTCCGGCCCCCCGCTCACGCTCATCTGGCTGAGGTTCCTGGCCAGAGCCGAGTCGGCCTGCCTCCTGCGCTGCTTTGCGTAGGGGCAGGGCCTGGAGTCCAGGGGCTCTGCGGGGCCAGGGTGCCGGGCCTGAGACGCAGAGCTGCGCGTCGCCCTGATGACGGGAGGCTGGGGGGCTTTTTTGTCCCAGCTGACCCGGGACCTGTTCATTCCGACACCTGCTGAAAGAACAACACAATCGTTCTTAACACACACACACAAAAAAAAAAAAAATCACTCCTGGAATTTGGGTTTCCTTTTTATTTGTGAAGCCAAATGCAATCCAATTAGATATGGACTGTTTTCCCTGATCTGCTTTTCAGATGGGCCTCTCCTTGTTTTCCTCCTCATTCTGTGGCCCGTATTTAAGAAGCTGTTAGACTGGAATCATCCTGGAATCCTTTTCTCCTCAGTGCCTTTGCACAGGAGCGAGCTGAAATGTTTTAAAACTGTCGAGAGTTGAACAAAAGGTAACGGCTGCAATATATTTAGCAACCCCCCCCCCCAACACACACCCCCTCCCTCTGCTCTTCAGCAGCTATGCTAATACAGTCCACAGCTGTGGCAGCTTTACTGTTCAGGCAAAGCAGAGCGTGGAGCCCAGAGCCGGGGGAGGTAAAAAAGAAGGGTGGAAGAGGTGAAAGAGAACCGTAGATTGACTGTGAGTCAACAAACCCAGCTGGGAGAGAAAAGAGGATGCCCCCTAATGGCCCCCGCAGACTGGGCAAAACTGGGAGGAGGTGAGGAGATAAATGATATGTAGGCGGGATTCAATAAAGACGGAGGAGAAGAAGAGGAGAGTGAAAAGGAGGAGGGAGGCTCCTCTTCCAAAGCTAATCTAAAGCCCTCAAACAGCCTCCATGAGGAATGAGTGTGAGCGATCAGGCAGAGGCAGCAAACAGGGAAACAAAAGAGCTACAACCTATAAAACAGGACTGGTTCACAGGGCTGTGCAGAGATAAGCTTTGCTCCAGAATCACCCCCCCCCCCGCTTTGCAGCGTCTCTCAACACTCACAGCGCGCAAAACACAGCTTTTTTCTTCTCCTAGAAAACTCCCAGAGGGACACAGACCAGGCACGAAAAGCCTTTTCTTTACAATGTTAACATTTACAGAAACAAAAACAAAACAAAAAAATCTGGCACCACAAATCTCATTTGATTTGAATTTTGGCTTTTATGAAGCAGAACCTGTTTGCTTTCATGTTCAAGCCACTCAATCTTATTTTACTTTGCCTCCTTAAAAGACTGAAGCCCCCACATTACAGGGGTTTTTTTTCTTTCACATCCTACAGAACTATTAAAAACAGCGGGGGTCCGGGGGTCTCGGCTTTTGTCTGGTCTCCTCTCAAAAAGACACTGCTGAGTACAAGCAATAAATCACCGGCCAAGTTATTAAGGATTCTCACGCATGGTGAACGGACACAACTCTTCGAGGTGATTGTAAAGCCACACTAACTGGGATCCCGACTGCACGGGTTTAAGTGATCTGACTAAATTAAAAGGCCGTAGCGCTTTTTTACTTTAAACTCCACAGGGCAAAATCATTTTTCATCAGATTAAACTGCCTGTCAGCGCTTTGAATGTTCATCCTTTTATCAGATAAAGCCCTAAATGTGCCACAGATGTTGTTATTATTCCTTAATGACAAATAGATCCCCGTATAAATGACAAAAGGCTTTAAAAGGATTTGTGAACCCCCCCCCCTCCCCTCGCCTTTTCACTCAACTTGCTCTTACGGCTCTCCCTGATTCCAAAATCTGTGTGTCCTAGAACCGGACCACCAGGAGCGTGGCTGCTCATATGAGGGTTACAGTTGTCTAATTACGGATGTCCCAGCACACAGGGAACACACCTCAGTGATCAGCACCCGAAACGCCTCCACCCTGATCCCCCCCCGCCCACCCCAAAAAAAACTCAGGCCGACCGGTAATCCTCTCAATATGCTAGGGGCTGACGCCAAGAGCCCAACTCCAGCCACACAAAACTGGCAAAAAAAACTGGTAGAGGGGGGAACAAAGGCCCGGCTGGTGGAGTGCGGGAGCAACAGAGGTTTCTCTGTGGACGCTGCCCGGGAAAAAAAAACATGCCAGCAGTGGTAAAACGTCAGCACTGCTCTAACACACTTCATTTATTTATTCACGGTTTAGGTGTCAGGAGGTGTGACTCCGTGTGTGTGTGTGTGTGTGTGCTGCATCCGACTGGCCGGGCTCTGCCTTCACTCTGAGGGGCGGCTAAAAACATGGACCTGCGGCTCAGCTGCGTCTCAAAGCAGATTTGGTTAGGTTTAATGAGGGGCTTTTCCTCTGCAACCCCGGCATTTAACCCTCCACTCAGAGCCGAGTCGAGGACGGCCGACTTTGATCCCCCCCCCCCCCCCCACCCCTCTCCCGACGCTGGGATGGCAACTGGCGAAATGGTCGTCATGGAAACCTCTTCATTACTTAGCTGGTGAGGCAACAGCTCTATGTTCTCCCTCCCCACCTGCTCGCTAATGACATATCACTCTGTGTAGCATCTTTGTTGGCCTCTCAATTGACACAAAGCGGCGAGTCCTAATTTGTGTTAGTGTGTTGTTTGCTCACACAGAGAGAAAGGTGGGTGGCAGGGAGCTACATTTACACGGTGGGTCGATGGCTAAGTAATGACTATTGTCTAGCTGCTACTTCAAAGAAACACTGGCACTAAATTAAGAATAAATCAACAATCCATATGACTCCTGTAACAGCAAACAGTAGTGATTAATTAAACAAAATATCTACACCTACTAAAATAAAATGGTTACAAAATACATTATTGTTTATTACAAATTACGATGTATATATATATATATATATATATATATATATAAATATATTTTAAAAAAATTTACTCCAAAGGTGTGGCAAATAATTGATATAGAATCCCCTCATTCCCAAAGAGGCAACATGTGGCAGCTGATAAATAACTAAAATGTAGAGTCTATGTGCAGTAAATAGTTCACAAGCTCTTTGTCAAATACAAAGCTCACAAATAAGTTAACGTGTGTTTCAAAGTCAATTTACGTTCACTGATGTGTGCAGCTTTTCTCCTCGCATTTGGGCAGAGAGGGGAGGAGGTGAGAGGAGAACCGCCCCCGGAAGCGTCCCTCTCACCGGCCTGGCTGTGTGGCGGGTCTGGGTGAGGCTGCACCGCCCCCTGCTGGCGCTCAGGGCTCATTACACATAGCAGACACCGACCCACTAAAAACAACAACTGGTACAATGATGGTGCCAACCCATACTAAAGGGGTTTATTCAGTTTTTTTTTTAACTACTGAAAGAAATATGCCATAAGAACAGAACATACTAAACATGAGAAATGCATTAAATAAATAAAATGAAAATGAAAATGGGTGAAATCAGGAACTTTCACAGAGAAATTGCCCCTTGCTCCAGACAAGACCAACGTAAAGCATTGTTAACATCTAAAAAGGAGGGAGAGGTCAAAGTGGGATAAAGAGAAGCACGGACTGTTGATGCCGGGACATTTGGTTTGTTAAAAACAACAAACAAGTAAGTTCACATTATTGTTGATGACTTGGGGTGATCAGAGGAGGTGGATGTCATCCATCCGTCCATCATGGGCTATACTATATCTTCCTACTAAAAAAACATTGGGTGGAGCCTATCCCAGCAGTCTCTGGACAAGAGGTGGAGGAAACCTTGGATAGCTTGCAGTCCATGACAGGACCACACTGAAACAAACCACCCCACACACTGACATTCACTCCTAGGAGCCATTTAGATTATTCAATTAAGCCAGTGTGCGTGTTTCGGATCGTGGGAGGAGGTCAGACTATGCACAGAGAAGATGTGATCACCTCTACAGTTCCAGGGCTTCCTATTCCACCAAAGAAAAGGAGGCTTGGTAATGCTGTGGTCCTCGTTTAGGACAAAGAGCATTCAACCTTTCCTGCCACCATGCGTGACTTTTGCCAGGAGTTCTCCTTTCCAGTGGATTTTGTTGTTAAACTGCTTAAAGCGCAGAGTGACAGCATGTCACAAACTGACACCTTTGTTCAGCCACCATCCATCTCTGACATCCTCGAAAGGATTTCTATATTTTGTAACGCATCAGACGTTGGAATCAGTCGATGTATTGCATTACACGGTTTGTTTTTTGTCTTTTCTTTATTATCTATGATCCATTCTCAGAGTGAAATGTGCAATTTTATTTTCAAAGGCATGCCATCAGTTACCCTCACTCATTTACATTTTTCTGGAAAAAACCCTAATGAGGTGTGTGTTTTAATAGACACCCTCTGGTCCATCAACCATAAAGATGAAATCAATTGGAGTCCTTTAAGATTCACCCATCCTCACAAAGCAACTACAGGCCCTTTATCCCAGATTTATTTCCTCTTGTATGCACGTTATGGAGTGATAATTATGTTAAAAGAAAATAATAATAAAAATGTGCAGTAATCTTAATCCCATGTCACAGCCGTAGTTACCAAAACATGGGAAGCTACTAGTAATTTTAACATGATCGCAATAATAAGGGGCTTTCATTTTAGCCGTGTAGTCATGATCTACCTGTCTCTTTCCAAGCTGCAGAGCTTCTGAATGGTGGACACACGACGAAACGTTGCTGGGCCTGCTGGGATGTTTTACGTCAGTTTAGAAAACTCGCTGCTCGTCTTTAACGCTAAAATCCAAGTTTACACCACGTCGGATGCAGCGGAAGGGTCAACGGCACTGAGTCCACTTGTGCTAAGTGTCTGCTTCCCCAGAAGCAGGCAGCACATCAGCATGGCCAGCCCTCAGGAGACAGAGGCATCACTCCGCGGCTCTTTCCGGGTACTAAATGGGTCCTGGAGAATACAGGCGGGAAAGGGGGGCGGCGTCACGTGATGGTACGTTTCCCCATTTCAAACAAAGTGTTACAAAATTCAAAGAGTCATGTATACTATACTGACAGTAGCTTGTCAGTCCCTGGGCCTCCAGTAATATTGCTGACATGATTTAACTACATATAAATGTGATTATTAACACGAGCCATTGGAATTTTGAGCCCATGTGTTATAAAAAATAAACAGATGTTCACAGTTGTTCATTTGAACTTTCATTTAATATCAGTTTATAAATACTTTGGGTGGGTCTTGACCCACAGGACTTGCTGTTGTATGTCTTGCTAGTTTGTTGACAACTGATCATTAATAATTTACATAAATGGTCTGTGCTTCTCGCGTAAATTCATCAAACTTTCTTTTGAATTTGTAGCGTTAGCTTGTTCGTTTGTTTTTTAACAGGTAGTGACAAAGCTGCTCAAAAGAGACGATCGTTAACTGTTACGTCACTTCCTGTCGGAGGAGGTGGTGTTTGGACCAGTTTGTACCCTCCCGCCAAAGTAGATTGACAGCTCGGGGCTCTGCTGTGCATCTTTATCCTCTCTTTTCCTGTTATCCTCCGACCACTGTATCAAAACAAAAAGCACCGTTTTCTATGTACCGTTTATGAGAATAAACTGCTCAAAAATATAAGAACTGTTTCCGAAATTAATTTTCTACGTTCACGATCCAATTGATGATGTTAAAATAAAGTGGATTTATTTCAGGCATTTTAGGGCCTAATTTAATAGTTGTGTTAATCATTTGGATGTCAGAGAGTCAACTATGATATTAAACATCTACACTGTAAACACAGGCGGTGCTGACGTGCAGTCGTGTGCCTTTTGGAGGCCCGGTCTATGGACAGTGTGTACCTCCGTGTGCTTTATGGGTGGAGACTGAGGATCTCCTCCAAAAACAGACAACATAATTCCGTTTTAGCATCGGCAGCTTCGTAAATGCGGGATCTGGAACCTGGAAATGATCATAGTCGGTCATTTTTAAGTCAGTTGTACATCTTGCGTTACGTTGGATCTGTTTGTGAGCGAATATTAAAGCAAGGTAAGTGTTAAATTCGCTCCTGAAGGCTTTGTTTGTGTTACAAGAGTTAGCCATGAAAACTTCTACGAAAACAAGGAGCGTCTCTCTTGACTAAATTAAACCATATTACCTCATATATGCGGCCTAAAAGCGATTTTGTTCGACATTTTGTGTCAGCGAAAGACACGGGGAGGATGAAACGTTGGCGTCGACGTTAAAAAACCGTTAAAAGTGTTTGTGGGGTGACGCTCCAGCTAGAAGGTTCCACAAATTAACGTTGAAGCGCGTGCACTTTAAACTGAGTCTGAGACAAACGCAGGCAGCCAGCACAGAAAGATTAAAGTCCATTTTTACAGTTTCATTCTTGATTATTTGAGCTGGACTATAAAAAAAAAATAAACAGTTTCTGCCTGGTCTGTTTATTTGAGCACATGTATGAACGTTGTTTACCTCAAACAGTGTCCTACGTGCTACCTAGCGTAAGTTATACTTAGCTCAATTTAGCCACAAATTGTCACTGTCAGGCGAGTTTCTTTCTACCACTGCTTTCAAAAGAACCAGTTTCACGGCACTCTGAAACGCCTTAACAGAACGAGGCTTTGGTGTAAGCAGAATTTCCCATGGCTATACCATATATTCAAGACTTAAAAACGTAAAGGAGTCTTTCGAAACAGAAGCCATTTGGATCAAATATTTTAGGTAGTTACGTGGACTGGGGCGGTTACTGTAGAAGTGTTCAAAAGGGTTGAAGTATTTTAGAGTGCTGTCCTATAGATATTTTCTACCTTATAGTTTTATGTGTGGTTTGCTCTTAAGCTACTCCATGTTAGTCTACTACCAAACTCAAGGGGTGATCCAGTGGACAGATCATTTTCTCTGAAAACTATCTATCGTCATGTCTACTGAATCTTTCCAAATTAAAGCCACTCTTAGAGGAGGGAATCAATGAAAAGTGGTAAATGACACAAGTATAAGACAACTCATTCGATAAGCCTGAAAAACTGTTCCTGGGGAATACTCAAAGAAATGGTGAAATAGGTTTTCTGAAAGGGCCACGTTGATGAGTAAAGATGTTCATACCAAATTGTTATTTTAGTGGCAGGTTACTGTTGTACAATGTCTGTTTTAGTCTTTATTTGAACCTTCATGCTTCCACACCACCATCTGCTCAAACCTAAAACCTCCTACACACAGTCTGAGGAGTCTGAGTAGCTTTACATGACAAAAAAGCTAATAAAGGCACTTTTGAAATGAGAAGTGCCTGAAATAAATTGTTTTAGGAACAAATAGTTTTTTGTCATGTGAATCCTTTTAAGTTTTTCTTCCCAAAGAATGTTCACAGCATAAAACAGACTTGACATGTAAGTGTTTAGGTTAGTAGGATTGGCTCCTATTTCTTCTTAATGTTTTTTTTACCTGTTGCACAGCTTAGTTACACACTGTGAACTGGTCTGCCTTGTTTTTGTATCGACAGCACACCCAAAGCAATAGGCTGGCTTTTCTTCTTACACTGTTTCATCACTATGGCCCAATTTCTAATATTGATATACAGCTAAAGTTATCTGTACAAGCTCAGATGTCTCATTTGATAGCAACCATGCTGTTAAAGTGAAATTAGTTCGTCAACATCGTCAGAAGAGGTACTTTTGCTCCGAACATGTTAAGACTTTTATATGCTTGGAAAATGTTCAACAGGTTTTAAGCTCCACACAAAATGCAGATTTATTAACCACTGCTTGGAGACATGAGTGTTTGTGTCCATGTGATGTGTCGGCTCTGTAATTCTTATTTATTCCCTTAGATGAGTCAGGCAGAGCAGGTGCCTGAGGACATGCCTGCATACCAAGAAGATGAACCAATGCCTTCAGGTGAGCTGAGCCACAAATAACCTCTGACATGTTAAAGGGACATAAGAAGATTTTTCAGATACTAAAACTGCATGATCAATATGTTAAATGGGGAACAAATAGTTTTTGTTCCTTTTTTTTTTAAATAAACATTTAATTTATCTCAAAGATAGATTATGTTTTTTTTTTAATCATTATATGCTTTCATAAAGAGTTGGTACTACTAGTGGGAAGGACCTCCTGTGTCTTTATGTGTTTCAGCAAAGCTGAGAAGCCCCAAACTTTAGTATGCTCACCAACTTGCGCAGCATTTTTTTTTTTTAGAATTGGCTCCATTCGCTCCAGAGCATTCCGCAGCACAGAGCCAGCATTTCTATGTTGGTGATTTGAGTTTCTGAGCCACAGATGTTGCTGGCTTGCCTCCACCTGTATTTTCTGCTGCTTCTTACACAGCACTGCTAGCTTATTATCTACCTGCCCTGTAGAGGGCATGGTGTTCACTTGTTTTGTTTTGTTTGTTTTTTTTAGCAATTCATTGGTAGGACTTCATGATGTTGGATTTTTGGGAAAATCTTATTCTGTCACTGGGGAAAGATGCATGAGATTAATTTTGTACTTGAAGAATCCAGAGTGTGAGACCTGCTCCTTCAGTCCTGTTGTGGTTCAGTCCCTCCAGCTGCTTCTTCAATGGCCCTTGTCCTTTAGCACTTAGCTCTATTTGATGTTACTTGACTCAGTTTGGGTTGTTTCGTTTACAACAGAGAACCACCTCCATGTGTCTGGAGACGTTACAGCAAGCTGGCTCAAATACACCTGTGACCAGGGTTACATCACCTGTTTTTGATTAGCTCTGCAATACCTTCATCTGTTTACTCCACGTAAACAGATGAAGTGTCAGAACGCCGGACCTGTGTTTAAACCGAAAACATGGCGATGACTACAGACCCTGAATGCTTTGCTCAGTGGTTGACGTTTTCAGTCTAATCTCAAGTGACAAGATGTATTACAGATTATGCAGATTTGACCCAAAACATGTCTCACTGTTGATGGTTGAAACAAGCATGAAGGGAGGAAGACAAAGAGCAGCCATCCACCGTGAGGCTCTGTGACACTCCATGAGGGGGGAAATCATTGTTGTACAATGTGGTCAATTATTATTTACGTAATTAATTATTCATTTGCTGCAGGGATTAATATTTTAAATAAGCACATTACGGTATTAAGCTGCCATAAGGTTTGGTTAACTAAGAGGCATGAAACAGCCATGAATCCAAATAATTTACTTTATTTTATCACAGTTAAACTCAACTTTAGCTGGTATCCATTTGTTTCTCTGCCTGCTGAGGCGATGTGTTGTTAGATAAACAAAACCTTTGGGTTTAATGCTGTTTGTTGGATTTGAATTGAGTTTCATGTTTCTGAACATTCCCTAACGTTGACTGTTTAGTTTTTGAGGATAATAAACAGCCATAAGCTATAAGTTTTAAAACATTTTAAGGCTACATGTCATTACAGTTTGTACATTTAAGAATGCAGAACCTATCTAAAGCTGCCCTATAGTACAAGGAAACCCCTCTCAGGCCTTTTTGTTTTTGTTCTGCATTAATCTTAAAGTAAAATGTTTCTTGTTTTTGTTGTAAATCAGACACCAACAAGGACCACCCGCAGGCTCAGCCGGGGATGTTCGGAAGGTTGGCGGGGGGCTTGTACGGAGTCACTAAGGGAGCATTAGGAGCCACGGTGGGAGGCGTGACCTGGATAGGAGGGAAAAGCCTGGACCTCACCAAGACTGCGGTCACCTCCGTAGCAGCTGTCCCTGCGATGGGCGTGGGGCTGGTGAAAGGGGGAGTGTGTGCCGTCGCCGGGGGCGTGACTGCTGTCGGCTCTGCCGTGGTCAGCAAAGTCCCCATAGGAGGGGGCAAAAAAAAAGACAAGTCCGACTGACGGGGAACAGAGGAGAGAACGCAGCCAACTCACTCCGAGCTTGTTTTCGCATTCGTGAGCAGGAAAAGAGCAACAGGGGACTCAGAGCTCAGTGTACAGATGTCGGTGTTGCTTCGATCCCCCCTTTAGTTTATCTTACTGAGTCCTCATTTATACAATTATGGCTGAACAAGATTCACAAGCAGAAACATAATCAGAGACTCCCACATAAGAGGAAAACACAGCAGATCTTTGCAAGACAATCACTGATGAACGACACCTAACTATGACCAACGCTGTAAAGCTGAAATGGAAAAGCTCCCAAACTCATGTCAAATCAAAGTAGTGGTCAAGCATCTAGTTTAAATTTCATCCTGTCTCTTAACTTTTGTTTATTTCTGGTTAATTCTTGACTGTTTATTTTTGTTTTCTGATTCTTTTTTTTTTCTTATCGCCATCTGCTGGTTATTTTGTGTAAGTGGAAGGCAACTCCTGCTTTTGATAGTGTTTTTTATTACAGTGTGAAATGCGTCATATAACCTTTTTCCAACAGAGGGTTCAGAGCCTGTATAGAATGTTTTGAACTATTTGCTGAAGTGTCAGTGTTGTACTTGTCTGAATAAAACGATTGAAATAATGTCAGAAACAGTCAGCATCTTTTGTAGATCTGGAAATTGCTATTTTTCTGGAATCCTTTATTCTTGTTGCTCCTCTTCATGCTATGGCTCGTAGCCTGTGACTGCATTGTTTTGAGCAGCAGAACAGGAAAAAAAATCAGCTCTGGGTCTTTTTGGTATAACTTGTCTACACTGTGTGCAGTCCTAAAGTGAGATCAGAGGAACTGGAGAGAACCCAAGCGGGTGTGAGGAGAAGATGTCAAGAAAACACCATCAAGTCCAAAAATCATCGCTTTTTACATGAATTAAACATGGAAAGACTGAGGACTCCTGCTTTTGATGTTAATGCCACTCAGACTGTTTATGAAGAAATGGAAAAAATAACCAAATCACTTTGTGAACCAGAAAATGTAATGATCTGTACAAAGATGATATATTCAAAGCACACCCCACTGACACACCAAGTTCCAACATTTTACAGATTATGGAGTCATCTCTCAAAGCTAAACACCTTTGTGGTTGCAGTAAAGTGCTTATGCACCTGAACAAGAAAGACTATTGGAGGAGAAATATCCCCCAAAATGTTTTTGTAGTCTGTAGAGCTGATTTGTGATGTTTGGTCTTCCTCCAGGATATAAATCTATATTTGGACTCAGACTCAAACATTTTGTTGGGGAAATGGCTGCAGTGAGTAAACTTAGTCTGTGAATGGAGCTCTGCGCTGAGAACAGTTCAAGTTTATCAATTAATGTGATTTACAATCCCAATAATAATAATTAAAATTATGATAATGTAAAAAATTGCACTGATCAATATCAGTCTATCAGCAACTCTTAGCTTTAGCTTATACATGTCTGCCAATCATGCAGAGACTCATTTTTCTGCATATTACATCAAATTTGAGACCAATTGATAGTTCAGGACCGAAAATGTAAAAGAGTCAAGACAAGAAACGGGTTTGTTTTAAAGGAATGTTTTTTCTTCTACTTACGTGGGGGTCCAGAGTTGCTTAGTGAAAACCTACATTTTGAAACTAGAACACGATGATCGCCTTCTCATACCTGTTGTCGCTGGTAATACTAGTAATATCCAAAAGACAATAATTAACCAGAATATATTGATATTTTCTGGGCTTTGTTGCAGTTTTCAGCACATGCTTTCTGTCCTTTAAGGAGACAGGAACAAGAACGTCAGCATTTTCAGTGAAATGGCACAGCAAAGTTACAAGGAGCTGTATTTCGGGGCTCCGTTAAAGAAATATTTAGATAAGAAATCTTTGGAGTTTCTATAGACTGATCATAGGAACCTTTGGGACCTAAGCGGGCCCTAACATACCAACAAGGTAGACCCTGAAACCTCAGTTCTGGAGGGGCAGAAGGTAAGGTAGAACTCTCCCATACCCCTCCAAAATGTACCCTTTAAAGTTATTTTCACTTAATTCTTCAGGATAGTTTGGTTCTTTGGGCAGTGCAGGGGAATGTGTCCTATTGGATCAGGTTAGGAAGTCAGCAGTTTGACACTGAATTCTGTGTTGACCAGTCCCTCATTTGGGTCACAAAAACCTTTTCAAGGACTTTTTTGTGATAGCTAATATTTATTTTTCAATTACACAATGACAAGTGCATCGATCAGCTATTTTAGCTTTTCAAAAGTTTACATAATGGAAACTTATGGATGTCTGGATGGAGTTCCAGAGCTATTTTGTAGAAATGTTCTTAAATCAAAATAAAGAAGACTGGATTAAGTTAACATGGCTATTTGTCTCACATTAAAGTCAACACATCTATCTGTTCGTCTTTTTTGCACACTGAATCTAATTCTGGGTTGCAGAGGGGCCGGCGCCTATCCCAGCTGTTCGGGGACACCCGGACAGGTCACCAGTAAATCCAAAAGGCACATTACAAAGAAGTTGCCAGATAAAAAAAAAGAAAGACAGAAACTAAAGGATGTAAGGAAAGAAAAGTTTGTGGATAGTATGGTTTTTATGGGGTAGACTCAAAGCCTCACACCTCTTGATTCAAGCAGCATCTTCCTGAAGCTCTTCAATCTTTTTTCTGTGATACAGCAGTGAACGCACTGCGCCAAAAGATGCGTTTAATTTAGCTCCCACACAATTTTATTTGAGAGGTTTGCCTTCAAATCACTGACCTTCCTACTGGACTTACAAAAACCCTGCACTTGGTTTGAACTGATCTTTTTAAACTCTTCCTGTCCTGTACTTTGTGACCCTTTAAATCTAGCCTTGACACATCTAACATTATTGGTGAATTCAGGATAATCCAACCAGAGACTGTCAATGTCTTACAGAAAACAAATACTTGAACTGAATCATGGAGTTTACTCAGATTCATCCACACATCCTCAGTTTAGAGAGTAATATGTAAAATGTGCTTTCTTCATCTGACCTTGTAATTACCAGAGTGGAGTACCTGTTAAGCACCAGGGAGCGTTTTATTATAAGCCAGGAAATTAAGTTTTACAGCAAAAAGACAGCTCACTGTCTATTTTACATGACTGTGTGTACATAAAGACAAATTTTCCACATTTAGAGGTTACGCATTCATAAAATGTCACAATAGATTACAATTGTGAGAAAAAGAAGTTCTTTATTCTCATCTTTTGCATCTGGATATTGGAAACATCCTTACAGGTAAAGTTTAGAGTGAACACCAACAGTCAGTGTTTTTACAAGCCACAGATTTCACAGTAATGAGAAATAATTTGATGTTACAAGCACATTTTCCTGCAACTCGGAATATCATTTTAACCTTTTTCTTGGGCAGTGGGATCTTTAGTTATCCCCTATAACTTTTTTGCTGACAAACAAATATTGATGCACTTTTTTTTTTGACAGACAGGATTAAGCTTTCGTGATTCATGCTTTTTACGTTGGTGTTGTGCTGAAGTGAATTATTTCAAGAGGCCTTTGTTACATTCTCTTTAATTCTTAACGGGTAAAAAGTGTTGTCAAGCTAGCACTACTCATAGGACCAACTACAACTGAATATCTTGATACTGCGTGGGGGCCACTGTAATTTAAAAACCTTCCTGTCTTTTAGAAAACATTTCAAATATGTACATTTTGATTTTTATCTAATGCCACTAATTATCAAAACCATGTTACTGTTTCAGATGTTTCTCCAAACATTTCTGGTGAATTCATGAGCTCGTCTCTCTTTTTACTGCTCTGGGGCGATCATGACCAGTTGTCCGGAAGAAACCACAACCTTTGGCTCAGCCTTCCTCTGGTCTGCTGCGTCTGTATCTCGCTCTACAGAAAGAAAAAGAGACATGGTCAGATTGATGTATATATTGCTTCACAATTGCAAACCATGTAAATCTGCTTCTTACTCCTCTTCCTGAGGCACTGAGGTTCACAGCTGCCGCCCTGTCCAGCAACACACACAGCTGTGCTACAGTGGATGTACACCTGCACAGAAGAAATGCAGTCAGAAAAGTACAAAATATTTCACTACAGCTGTTTGCGACAAATTGTGTGTTTGTGTCACCTGCTCCCTCAGAGGTTCCATTGAATTGGGGTCCACAAAGGTAAACATTTTGAACATGAAACGCCTGTAGTGACTTGGGAATTCAACACCGTAGGAGGCTTCCACTGGCACCAGAGAGGACAAGTAACGATCATCAGTGTATGGACACCTGTTTGGGGAGTATTTTAAATTGAAATTATGGTAGTTGGGAACCCAGGCATACACAAACATTACATAAACTACAATCCAGTATCCAGGTTATCAGGAACAGTTTGGTCACTTTGGCAATCAACTAAGATCCACCGTGTTACCAGTTCATTGTATTACTTAAACAGAGGAATTTATTCATCTGCAAAAAAGATGTTCCGCTCATTATTTGTCTTGGCCTTCATCTTTATTGAGGTTATTTCAGTAATTAATTTACAGTAAAGCATAAGTATCTTTTAAGAGTTTTTTTTCTTACCCGTCTATCAGTATGTCCCACTGGGGAAAGCTGAAGGCGTTGGGACTTGTGGTGGCCCAACAGCGCCCAAGAGTCAGGACAAGAGCTGGGTCTGTCCTCTCAAGGAGCCGAACCTCCACGTACACAGGGTCTCTGAGTATTTTGGTCACAGGATAGTCTGAATCCATGAAGTAAGATGTGTAGGCTACGTCCACTGTGAGAAGAGACAAAAAGTAAGCCATCTTTCGAATTGATTAAAGAAATTGTCCTGCCAGGCTCAAACACACTGACCTTCATTACAACCCTTTGCGGTGCATTGGCCATTGCCCAGCCTCAAGTCGACTCTGATGGGTCCCATAGCAGCAACTGGTAGAGGGGGGTCGCCCAGTGGCAACACTTCTACAATCAAAGTTTCAACAGAGGTGCCAATGTATCTACACTGGAAGAGCAACCTGAGAAAAAGGGTTTAAAGTATTGATTCTTGGTCAAAACCTACATATTGACATTGTGACAATCAACAAATGATCACCTACTCGTAGCTGCTGTCCCTAGTAATTGCTCCAAGAGGCCCTACACCCACTTCATAGGAAGAAGTCATCCTGTTCTCATAGATTAGGACACCCGGCTCCTCCTACAAATAATTAAAAAGGAGAAAGTTGAATATTGTTCAAAATAATCGCAACCTATTTAGTGACAATTGACAGTGCTAGTTGAAGGAAAGGATCTCACCATGACAACAGAGCCACAGGCAGTCACAGGAAAGTAGTAGATGGCAAAAGCAGAATTTGAGTCAACATATGAACAGCCCTGGCCTTCTCCCAATAGTGAGATTGTTTCGAGGTCAATGTGGGGAAGAGTTACATCTCTGGCCACTACAACAATGAAGTGTCCATCCTTGGTGCACTGGAGAGTCACTGGTAGAACAAAAATAGGGCTGTGATGCACTCATACTCTTGGTCAGTTGTAAAGGGTGCATTGAAATCTATTTGAATTATTTGCTATAACAAATATACTTTAACAACACTATATAATAGATTTTCATTCTGTTAGGTTAACAAATGTTTTCAAATGCACATTCAAAACATTCAATTACTTACCTGTTCGACCAAAATAGCATTGCTGGCCATCATAGCAACAATCTATGGCATCACATTCTTGAGCAGAGATACCCGGAACTCCACATGGGACTCTCACATTTCTATCCACATCACAACTCTTAACATGAGGGATTGAAGGGGTCTGTGGATTGGGCATCTGGGGAGGAACCTTTGGTGTCTGGTAAAACTGGTCGTTTCCCACATATGCTTTTTGTGATGGATTCTTGGGATTCTGAGGCATCGGGTTTTGAGGCATCGGGTTCTGAGGCATCGGGTTCGGATTCTTCTTGGCATTCATGTCATAGTAGACTTGTGGTTCCTGAGGTACTTGACCAGGGTACTGAGGCTTCTTTGCTCCCATATCACTGTAGGTCATTTGGT